AGAGAATACGGTAAAGCTTATTAACGTTTATTTAGTGTTATTTAGATTATTTGTCTTATTTATATTTGAAACTCATTTGTCTAACTCCAAATCATGGGTCAGTTTTGAAATTTGAATAATTTCCCTTCCCTTAATTAGAAGGGGTCCTCTCTTGGGAGCGATTCTCGAAAAGTGAACAAATCCCCTTTTCTTCACTCGTTTTTCGTGTGCTCAATATATGCAAATTTGACTGCTTTTCCCTTTTCACTTGGCCCACACCAAGACACCAATATTTGCCTCATTTGGTAAACCTTTTCTTCTGTAAAACCAAGTTTGGCTTTCGATTGTGCTTTGTGCTTTTTGAAAATTGGAATCCACCTTTTCTGGTATCTTTTTTAGGCGTCAATTGCTTTACTGCATACTTTGAAATGTAGACGGAAACAGAAATGTAGACAGAAACACTTGAATTCTGATAGAAACTATCGAAAGTAGGCTTAGATAGTAGGCTTTGAGACAATAGGCTTCTAGACAGTAGCCTTCTGGACAATAGGCTTCTAGACAGTAGCCTTCTGGACAATAGGCTTCTAGACAGTAGCCTTCTGGACAATAGGCTTCTAGACAGTAGCCTTCTGGACAATAGGCTTCTAGACAGTAGCCTTCTGGACAATAGGCTTCTAGACAGTAGCCTTCTGGACAATAGGCTTCTAGACAGTAGCCTTCTGGACAATAGGCTTCTAGACAGTAGCCTTCTGGACAATAGGCTTCTAGACAGTAGCCTTCTGGACAATAGGCTTCTAGACAAAAGGCTTCTAGACAGTAGCCTTCTAGACAATAGGCTTCTAGACAATAGGCTTCTAGACAGTAGCCTTCTGGACAATAGGCTTCTAGACAGTAGCCTTCTGGACAATAGGCTTCTAGACAGTAGCCTTCTGGACAATAGGCTTCTAGACAGTAGCCTTCTGGACAATAGGCTTCTAGACAAAAGGCTTCTAGACAGTAGCCTTCTAGACAATAGGCTTCTAGACAATAGGCTTCTAGACAGTAGCCTTCTGGACAATAGGCTTCTAGACAAAAGGCTTCTAGACAGTAGCCTTCTAGACAATAGGCTTCTGACAATAGGCTTCTGACAGTAGCCTTCTGGACAATAGGCTTCTAGACAGTAGCCTTCTGGACAATAGGCTTCTAGACAGTAGCCTTCTGGACAATAGGCTTCTAGACAGTAGCCTTCTGGACAATAGGCTTCTAGACAAAAGGCTTCTAGACAGTAGCCTTCTAGACAATAGGCTTCTAGACAATAGGCTTCTAGACAGTAGCCTTCTGGACAATAGGCTTCTAGACAGTAGCCTTCTGGACAATAGGCTTCTAGACAGTAGCCTTCTGGACAATAGGCTTCTAGAAAATAGGCTTCTAGACAAAAGGCTTCTAGACAGTAGCCTTCTGGACAATAGGCTTCTAGACAGTAGCCTTCTGGACAATAGGCTTCTAGACAGTAGCCTTCTGGACAATAGGCTTCTAGACAGTAGCCTTCTACACAATAATCTTTTAGACAGTAGGCTTTAATAAAGTAAAGTTTTTAGTAAATTAATTTGCACCGATTCAAATTATTGGGTTGGTGAATTGAAAACTGCCGGACTTTGAACTAAAATTGATTCAAAATAAAACCATCAGTTCATTCCAAATAATTTCCATTATTATTGACGACTTCTGCCCATTTTACAGGCAATTTGCGGATTCCTCTTTCGTGGTAGGATTGGTTTTGACTTGGTTTTGAATCGAAAAACTTTTAAAGCCAATTTTTGACTGCTTCTTCCGAATCGAAGTGTTCTCCCGCAAGCTCATTACTCATCATCCGGAATAGTAATCAAATAAATAGTAATCAGAAGGGACAAAGTCCGGACTGCATGGGGAATGTGTTCGCAAACAAGGCTATTTATTTTAGAGCTAGTCAGTTTTGTAACAGGGTCACTAGGGTCACTTTCGGGTTTCTCGCCTGGCCCCACCCACATCGGCGCGAAATAAGGCAAAAATGCGTTTTCTATAGGATTTTTCTGGGAGTACCTTTTTTAGATGCGGAAAATTGTGCTGATTCCGAATCTGAAGGAATTTTCCAAATCCCTCTGACAGAAATTTTTTAAATTGAGTTTTAGCAGTTTTTTTGGTGATTTTGTATGGGAAATTTTGTGGTACCCTGCAGTTTGGAGCTCGTAACTCGACAACGAGGGTCTAGAACCAAAAACGAAGGAGTAGGTCTTATTCTAGAGATTCTTACGAATATTTTGATGCAAAAATCATCAAATTTGCTCAACTCTACAAAAAGTTATAACATTTTTTAAAGAAGAAATGAGGAAATTAAAAAAATTCTCTATTGCACAATTGTTTTGTTCAAAAGAACAATGTAGCTATGTATCGTATTCACTCAAAACAATTAAGGAATATGCAAAATAATGACTGAAGTGCGCGGGAGAGTCGAACCAAAAACCCCCGTACTTTTGCGCTGGATTGACGTCGCGCGCCTTAGACCACTCGGCCACGGTTTCCCCTGATGTTTTTAGTGTATTTTGCAAAATTTCTTTAAAGATGTTATAACTTTTTGTAGAGTTGAGCAAATTTGATGATTTTTGCATCAAAATGTTCGTAAGAATCTCTAGAATAAGACCTACTCCTTCGTTTTTGGTTCTAGACCCTCGTTGTCGAGTTACGAGCTCCAAACTGCAGGGTACCACAAAATTTCCCATACAAAATGACCAAAAAAACTGCTAAAACTGAATTTAAAAAATTTCTGTCAGAGGGATTTGGAAAATTCCTTCAGATTCGGAATCAGCACAATTTTCCGCATCTAAAAAAGGTACTCCCAGAAAAATCCTATAGAAAACGCATTTTCGCGCCCATTGCCACTTCCTCTGAAAGTTCACAGATAAAACCCATTTCTCATCTCCTATCACAATTCGAGAGAGAAAAGATTTCCTTTTGTATTGTGAGAGATGGACGGCACTGATCGAGGCGTGCTCCCACTTCTGGGGGTTATTGAGGCCATGGGGCACCCAAGCTCCAAGCTTCGATTTCTCCAAGCTCCAAGGGTATGCAGATGCCTTAGCACTGTAGCATGATCAACCCCTAACTCTTCTCCCAATTCACGCGATGATACCCGATGATCGTTGGTAATGAGTTCGAATAATTTGAAAACATCCAGTTGGGGTGCCGCTCCACAGCCCTCTGCATCTTTCAAAGATTTGTCCCCAAAGATCGAAACTTGGCAAAGCATACTCCGTTCTTTCGGAAGGTGAGTCAGCTGCCAGCATTCTTCAACATTCGGTTTTTACCAATCGATCCGTCTTGAATTCAGCTTTAGGATGAGCTATAAAACGTCAAAATTCGACAAATTTAAGGTACTCTCCCAAAAAAAACGGAAAGGACTTTTCCACCAACCCAATATTTTTCAACCAGCGGCTCACTATTGTTCGCCTTTTCAGCTAGGGAACAAAATCGAAAGAGCAGACCAAAAATTACCGTTTACCCGCCTAAGCCGCGCCCTTTTTTGAAAATAAAGATCAAAATCGCATTCCCCATAGGCGCAAAACCCTTGAGGGCTAAACTCCGCCCCTTGTTTACTGATGGCACCGTTAACGATGCCACCGATGGCGCCCCCGGAATTTCGAGCGTCGCTTTTGCGCACAGACATGAGACAGACATCTCTTCTGCTTTATATATAGTAAATCATTCCAAAAATTGCTTCTATTCGCTGCGCTTCTATTTTTCAATGACTAAAAACTAATGAAGTATTAGGTTGGTGGGAAAATAGTCGAAATTTGGAGCCTCTAATTTCAAGTTCAAAAAAAAAAATCATTGATCCATTTTAAATGGATTTTCCTAAAAACAAAGCCGATTTCAGCAAGGAAAAAAAGAAAAAACCCCCTCATTTCTATGTACATTTTGGCATTCTGGGCAAATAATCCATCCGACTTTGACACAAATCGGCCTTTAAAATAAACAAATTTCCTCGTCAAAAAGCTGAGAAAAGCTTAGAAATTTGTTTTTGAGTTCTTTTTTGAATTCTTTTTTTTCTAAATTGCCAAATCATTCCGTTTTTCTTTTAGAAAATCTCTTTAAATATCATTTTCTGTGTACTAAACACTCGAAAACCTTTTCTCACCGATATTTCCTTTTCCAAGATAGATCTTTGTGATTTTTTTCAAGGAATCGGAAATCCTGGATTGCACAGAGGATCGTGGTGCTTGATTTTTGAAAGATTCATTCAACTCAAATTTTTGAGATTCATTTACTTTCTCTTATTCCAGTATTCTGGAAGAAAAATTAGCTAGCCGACTTCACTTAGCCGACTAGAGTTCACTTAGACCGACTAGAGTTAGCCGATCTTTAGAGAAAGATTTGGAAGTTTAAAATCAAAAGATACTCAATAGATTAGATTGATTGTTAATGTTTTTATAAAATAGTGAATAGAAAACCCACCACATCTTAGCCTTCAAATGTTTCATTTCTGTTCATTTCTTTGATGTTTTTATTTTCCTTTATTCAATGTACTCTTATCAAATTTGTGCTATTTCGAATTGATTTTTTGATCCGATTGGTTGATCCAATTGATTGATCTAGCTGATTGCTCCTATTGATTGATCCAATTGATTGATCCAATTGATTGATCCAATTGATTGATCCAGTTGATTGATCCAATTGATTGATCCAGCTGATTGATCCAGCTGATTGCTTCAATTGATTGATCCAGCTCATTGATCCAGTTGATTGATCCAATTGATTGATCCAATTGATTGATCCAGTTGATTGATCCAATTGATTGATCCAATTGATTGATCCAGTTGATTGATCCAATTGATTGATCCAATTGATTGATCCAATTGATTGATCCAATTGATCCAATTGATTGATCCAGCTGATTGATCCAGCTGATTGCTTCAATTGATTGATCCAGCTCATTGATCCAGTTGATTGATCCAATTCATTTATCCAATTGATGATCCAATTGATTTTATAATTTCAGCTTCACAAAAATGACTTCTGTAACGTGTTCTCCATCACTGGCTGATATGCGAGCCGCACAAGCTGATCATTTAGATCGAATGAAAGAATCGCTGAGAGAAGTCGATGCAAAGGTGGGAGAAGCTTTTACAAATAACAAAGTTTTAGATAAATATTTAATTTTAACTAGAAAAGATACAGTTAAAATATCCTTCTTGAGTGCAATGCGCTTTCTAAAGGGTGTTCAATAGACTGTTCAATTCTAAAGGGTGTTCAATAGACTTTAAACGAACAACATCTGTTTGCCCTTTTTGCTGTTGACAATTTAAAGTTAAAGACAAGTTTTTTTTTGTGTTTTTCTCAGCATCAACCCTTCGATTTTCACTATTTTGACTATCATTTGATGCAGAATAAAATTGCGCATCGAATGATACCAAAATTAGCTCGAAATGTAATATCCACAAAAAGTTATTGGCTAAAAACCTAAAACCCCACCCATTATGAGCGGAATTTTACCTTTTGCCTCATAACTTTCCATGGACATTGACAATATACTGGCGATATATCAAGGGAAATATTTAATTCCATCCCGTAATACCTCTAATAGTAGCGTCCCCTCTATAATGACGGTTGAAGCATCGCGTAGTCTAGCTTTGGAGGCGTTTTTCTCGCCACCTTTTTATGCTACAGTGTTCGTTTAAGTATCAGATGAAAGCTGAAATTCAGGGCTATTTTTTGATATTTAAACGAGCATTGTAGCTTAAACGAGTGTCGAGAAAAATGCGTTCAAAGCTAGACTACGCAACACTCCGCACCGTCATTATCTTTGGTATCAAAAAATAGCCCTGAATTTCAGCTATTTTTTGATACTAAACTTGTATTTTTAGAGATTATGGACGCTTAGAAAAAAATGATTTAGTAAAAAATTTTTGAGACTACGCGACCTCTTGAAACTGAAATGATTTTTGGAAATGGAGTCAATTTTTAGTCAATCTGGAAGTCACGGGAACTAAATTTTACATTTTTTCCTTGAAAAACAAAAAAGTAAAAAATTTCTGGTAGCAAGCGGACTCGAACCGGCGATGCTTCGCCTCGGAGCCGACCGCGCTAACCACTCGGCCATCATGAAAAGTGTTTAAAATGATTCAAAAAATAGCTCAAGATCTTCTGTGACATCCAGCTTTTACCCTTCACTTCGTTACAGTATGCCTAGTGTAGTTAGATAGCAAGCAAATGGCTCGATATCAAGTTCAACTCAATTTCTCTTGAAACTGAAATGATTTTTGGAAATGGAATCAATTTTTAGTCAATCTGGAAGTCACGGGAACTAAATTTTACATTTTTAAGGCTCAAGGGCAACTTTTAAGGTTTGGCGCAATGGATAGTGCGCTCGGTTGCGGCTCGAAACCTCGCGGGTTCGAATCCCCTTGCTGCCAAAATCTTTTGCTTTTTGTTTTTAAGCGACCATACGGGGGCGCTACGATTAGAGATATTACGGTAGGTGCTTTTAAAGCTTGTGTAACAAAATTGGGGACAATTTTCGAGATTAAACAGCAGTTTCAGCAGTTGACTACCTACATAGCAGCAAGCCTGCAAATAGATCAAATTCACAGTCACCCATTCAACTCGTTTCAATTTCTAGGATGTAGTGCCAATCTTGGTGGCTCGACGAGTTCTCCAGTCATTCGAGATGAGCAAAGTTTATGATCAAGTAAGAGAAAAAAGCAATTCCTTTCAAAAACTCCTTGTCTAGCAATCGCCGCACAGTCAAATGGATGTGCTGATCGAGATTCTCAAAACAAAACTCAATTGGGTTGGCCCAATGACCGACGCGTTAATTAAAAATGGAAAGGTTTGAATGAAAAGAAAAGCCTCGTTTAGCCGAAAAAGCCGAAAAAGAAGCTTGATCTCGTTTAAAAACTTAAATACTAATGTAGGTAGTCATCTGTACTTGCAGATTTTTCGTTAAAAAAAGAAAATCTATTGCAGTGTAGAGATTAAGGATGAAAAAACGGATTAGGGTTAGGGCAGGCAAGACTGAAAAAGCTAAGGTCAAGTCAAGGCTAGTCAAATCAAGTCAAGTCAAATCAAGTCTAGTCAAATCAAGTCTAGTCAAATCAAGTCTAGTAAAGCTAGTAAAGCCAAGCTAGTAAAGCCAAGCTAGTAAAGCCAAGCTAGTAAAGCCAGTCTAGTTAAAGCCAAGAGTTTTCCCCTTGATTTGACCGTAATAAGAGTCTAAAACAAACAACAAACATAAAATTTAGGCGCCAATCGCTCAGCAACTCATCAAGCTTCAAACGGAGCGAAATTAAATCAAACTTTTACCTTTTTTCTCTTCAGTAAACTTTTCGTTGATATTGGTGTACAGTTTTTGCTTTTTTTTTCTTCTCATCAAACTTATTTGCAGCTTTAAAAGTATCACCGAATACCGAATAAACAAAGAAATAAACCTTTAAGGTTAAAGAAAAACGCAAAAGCAAACAAGCAAGCAAGCAGAAAGTGTCAGACTCTAGCGACAGTAGTACAGTAGTACAGTAGCGACTGGCGCAAATTACGACGGAAACTAAAAGGTGCTCCTTTTCGGAATTACAAAATTTTTGCGAAAATTTCATTTTTTTCTTCATTTTTCAAAATGCTGTATTTATTTTTAAAGCTATTTTTCATAAAAGCTATTTTTCAATCATTCCAAAAAATGGGAGGTAGTCAAATGAGCGCCAACAATTGGGCGCCAATCATTTCAGCGCCAACGATTTGGCGCACGCTTATTTCAGCGCCACTCATTTGAGCGCCGTGCCAAAAATGACTGGAAAACAATCATTTGAGCGCCAAATTAAAAAGGCCTAAAAACGTTCATTTAAGCGCCGGGCCAAAAATGACTGGAAAACGTTCATTTCAGCGCGACTAAATTTTAATATTTTTGCTTTCTACGCTGCTTTTGCATGTTTTTTAGGGTTTTGCTTCGGTTTTTACACTTTTTTCACTCATTTGACCTAGGGTACGGCAGTAGGTACCAAATGCGCGGAAAAAATTGTTAGATTAGCTCGTATTTAAGGTTTTTTTGATGAAAATGTGTAAATTTGCTAGTTGTATGATATTTTCCCCCAATAGCATGCTTTTTCACCGTTTCTTGCCGTTTTCGTTTACAATTTGCTTACAGTTAACATAGTTCTTTGCTTATGCTCGTGAACTGCGCAAGAAGTGGCGAGACAAAGGAACACTCTGAGTCAAAGTAACGTTTTGTTCATGATTTATTTTGGTTTATTTTGCTGTCAAGAATTATTTTTATCTTTAGATGATTTAGATAAAAACATACAGTAAAAACTTTGAGATCATGCAGAAAATGCAAAAATAACATGCATATACAGAATGGGCTGATTCGGCGCTGAAATGAATGTTTTCCAGTCATTTTTGGTGCGGCGCTGAAATGAACGCGCGCTGAAATGAACGCGCGCTAAAATGATTGGCGCTGAAATGATTGGCGCTGAAATGATTGGCGCTCAATTTTTGGCGCTCATTTGACTACCTCCCCAAAAAATTGCTTCTATTGAAGGCTGCGCTTTTATTGGGTTGATGGAAATTTCCTTTACGAAATCAAAATAGGACCCGTACTGGAACCGTATTGGAACCGTATTAGATCCATAAACGTTAGTAATCTCTCGATGAGCCTGTGCGGCATTGAGTTTTCGGTTGAATGCATACAGGTGTCGCTCAAAAACAGGTGTCGCTGGTGCTCCTCCGATTCAACATTGACACGACATTCCTGAAAAAAGCCTTCTAACAACATCAAAAAAAATGATAAAACAAAAAAAAAAAAACGAGAAAAACGAAGGAAAACCGCGAAAAGTGGCGGAAAGGCTATTGATCTGAGGGTCGCTGGTTTCGACTTCCACCGGTGACAATATTTTTCAAAAATTTTTTGCTAAGATTCTGAAAATGCGTGTCTAGGGGTTATTTTTGACGCCGATCACGAAACACATGTTTTTAGCCTAGGTTTCTGCACGGAAAACTAACGAAACGACGTGAAAACAGCCATTTTTGGCTCTGCCGCCCTTTACTAAAATAGCTGTAAAAACTTTTAGAAAAGAGATATCTCAAAACGGTTTTTACCAATCGATCCGTTTTAAATTCAGCTTTAGGATGAGCTATAAAACGTCGAAATTGGACAAATTTAAGGTACTCTCCCAAAAAATCGGAAAGGACTTTTCGATCAACCCAATATTTTTCAACCAGCGGCTCACTATTGTTCGCCTTTTCCGCTAGGGAACAAAATCGAAAGAGCAGATCAAAAATTACCGTTTACCCGCCTAAGCCGCGCCCTTTTTCGAAAATAAAGATCAAAATCGCATTCCCCATAGGCGCAAAACCCTTGAGGGCTAAACTCCGCCCCTTGTTTACCGATGGCACCGTTAACGATGCCACCGATGGCGCCCCCGGAATTTCGAGCGTCGCTTTTGCGCACAGACATGAGACAGACATCTCTTCTGCTTTATATATAGTAAATCATTCCAAAAATTGCTTCTATTCGCTGCGCTTCTATTTTTCAATGACTAAAAATTGATGAAGTAGTAATTGATGAAGTAGTCCTAAAGAAAACCTTTAAGTTTTCTTTAGGAAAACCAATTAAAAACAATTCATTGTCAAAAAAAAAAGTATTATTCTCGATTTTATTGTTAAATTTCATTACTGTTAGAGTCACCGAATTCAATTGAGATTTCATTATCAATGCAAGAAAATGAAAAAAAAAGCTACTGATTAAGCAATAATGAACTTTCAAAATGATTTTTCAGCAGTTCAAGAAGAAAGAATCTAAGAAAGAACTAACAATTAGCAAGAAAGATTTTTTGCTAAAGGATTGAATACAAAAATATCAAACGTCAAAATGTTTAAAGTTGTGAGAATTTTATGGCATAATCTTAAGCTTAACAGAATTTAATTACCAACCGTAAATACTGTAATAGTACCCCACCCCCATAATGACGGTGCGGAGTGTTGCGTAGTCTAGCTTTGAACGCGTTTTTCTCGACACTGGTTTAAGCTACAATGCTCGTTTAAATATCAAAAAATAGCCCTGAATTTCAGCTTTCATCTGATACTTAAACGAAAACTGTAGCATAAACAGGTGACGAGAAAAACTCGTTCAAAGCTAGACTACGCGATGCTTCAACCGTCATTATAGAGGGGACGCTACTATTAGAGGTATTACGGGATGGAATTAAATATTTCCCTTGATATATCGCCAGTATATTGTCAATGTCCATGGAAAGTTATGAGGCAAAAGGTAAAATTCCGATCATAATGGGTGGGGTTTCAGGTTTTTAGCCAATAACTTTTTGTGGATATTATATTTTGAGTTAATTTTGGTATCATTCGATGCGCAATTTTATTCTGCATCAAATGATAGTCAAAATAGTGAAAATCGAAGGGTTGATGCTGAGAAAAACACAAAAAAAACTTTAAAGTTTTTGCACCTTTTTTCTCCGGACTTAGCCCATTAGCGCACCTTTTTTCGCGTTTTAAAAAGACTCTAAAAGCTGATATTAACCAATTTCTATTCCAAAAGTTGTTTTTTTTAGGTAATTTTCGGGCGTAGAATCGAAATTTTGGCATATCAGAGCTTGTGGAAGCGAACGGACGGAGTTATACAAAGAGAAAAATCAACAATTGTAATTCTACGCAACAATTGTAATTTGATCTAGCCGTTTTGTCTTTCAAATTGGTTCCACACGCTCTGTTATGTCAAAATTTGAATTCGACACCCTCAAATTACCTAAAAAAACAACTTTTGAAATAGAAATTGGTTAATATTAGCTTTTAGAGCTTTTTTAAAACGCGAAAAAAGGTGCGCTAATGGGCTAAGTGCGGAAAAAAAGGTGTGCAAATGTCCGGGTGCGCAAAAAAAAGGTCGCATTTGTCCCACTGCCATGATGAATGCATTTTTCTCAAGGAAATCGGTTAATACCCTTAAAGGCTCAAAACTCAAAGTATTCAGTCTACTAAGCTGAATATTCATAGCTATTGCCTCTATTGAAGGCTGCGCTTCTATTTGTGAATCATTCCACAAAATGGCTTCCATTAGAATAAATAAGGTAGGTAGGTATTGATATTTTTTAGCTGTTCCTGCTAACTTTTCCCTTAAAACGTGCCAGTTCTTGACTCGAAGCTGTCTTGATCATTTACCCTAACCTTTTCGAATTGCTTCGAATCGAAAAAAAAAGCTTGCTTTTCCTACAGCACTGCAAACTTTTTTACATTTTCCAGTCATCGCTTTAAAACCTTTCCATTTCTTGGTCAACTAGTGCAATTCTATGTGACGCTCTCGCCCCCTCTTTTGACTACGATTCCTTTTGAACGGGCTGCTCAAAGAAAAATGGTCCCGCCGGGCGGGTCGTTGCTTTTGTGCGCCGCATCAAACATTCTTGCTTTTGATAGGGAACTGCACAAATTTCCCCTCCTAGTCGGGCCTATTCAAAGTAAATTGTATCGATTACTTCTAATGCCCCTTTGATTTATTTAATCAAATTTTACTTTTAGTTGTAGCACTTTGAATGCTCTAGATTTTGTCGATTCTTTTTGTTTTACTTGTTGGTGTTTTTAAAAATGATCTACTTTTTTGCTTTCAGGTAATAAAGCGATGGCATCTCGTTCGCTTGTGATCATCAGTCGCCGAGGAGCGAGCCGGCTTACGACTCCACTCAGTGCCGCTCGTGTCACCCCGACTCTTCAGCAAAGCGGTAAGGGGTTGTTTTGTCTTGAAATATGATATATGATTAAGTAGCTTCTTATTTTGGTATGTTGATAATAGGTTTGACATAGATTCATAGAGCTTATTGAGGCGGAGTTTGATTCTTGTAAAAAAATTTTTAGTGAAAACATACGTTTTCATGTTTCCCTGATGAAAACCCTTACTGGTTTTGCTGAAAGTCTATACAAGAATCAAGCAATATTTTTCCAAGATTGTTTTCCTGAGTCAATAATTAGTTTTTTTAGTTCGCGGTGTGTCGACCACTTCAGACCAAAAGGCGCTCCACACAACAACCACCGTCTCCGCCGAAGCACAGAAGGTAATTGCGATCGAATGATCCGTTTTAACAGCTTTTTTTTAGGCTCCAGCTCGCGCAACCGCCAGCAACTCGAAGGGACGCATTGTGGCTGTCATTGGTGCCGTCGTCGACGTGCAATTCGATGAGAACCTTCCACCAATCTTGAACGGACTCGAAGTCACCGGGCGCAAGCCACGTCTCATCCTTGAGGTCTCCCAACACTTGGGTGAGTGACCCAATTGCTTTTAAAACTTAGAAACAAAGGAAACTTGCAGAGTTATTTTTTTTTGTAGGTGGTCTTTTTCAACATTAACATTGTTTAGGAAACAATGTCGTGCGATGCATTGCTATGGACGGAACTGAAGGACTTGTGCGAGGCCAGGAAGTCGTCGACACCGGAAGTGCGATCAAGATCCCAGTTGGACCAGAAACGCTTGGAAGAATCATGAACGTCATCGGAGAGCCCATCGATGAATGTGGACCAATCGGAGCAAAGCATTTCGCCGCCATTCACGCCGAGGCTCCAGAATTCGTGGACATGTCCGTCGAGCAAGAAATCCTCGTCACTGGAATTAAGGTTACTTTTTTCCATTTTCCAAATTGAATATCTTTTTAAGGTCGTCGACTTGCTTGCCCCATACGCCAAGGGAGGAAAGATTGGACTCTTCGGAGGTGCTGGTGTCGGAAAGACTGTGCTTATCATGGAGTTGATCAACAACATCGCCAAGGCTCACGGAGGTACCTTTTTAATATGGGAATGTTTTAAATGTTAAATTTTGTAGGTTACTCTGTGTTCGCCGGAGTCGGTGAGCGAACCCGTGAAGGAAACGATCTCTACCATGAAATGATTGCTGGAGGTGTCATTGATCTCAAGGGAACCAACTCAAAAGTGTCGCTTGTCTTCGGTCAGATGAAGCAAGTTTCATATTATATCATGATATTTTACAAATAATATTATGTATCAGCCGAAAAAACCCGCCGTTAGGCGTTTTTTTTCCGGCTGAGTGTTTATAGAAGAAAAAGTCGGCTTTGATTTTGAGCAGATTTATATAATTTTTATAATTTAGCGAGCCCCCAGGCGCCCGTGCCCGTGTGTGCTTGACTGGATTGACAGTGGCCGAGTATTTCCGTGATCAAGAGGTATGATCTTATGGTTTCTCTTTTAAATCATGCTGTTTTAGGGACAAGATGTGCTTCTCTTCATCGACAACATTTTCCGTTTCACTCAAGCCGGTTCTGAAGTGTCTGCTCTTCTCGGACGTAAGCACAAAAAAAATTATAAATTATAAAAATCTGCATGATACACGAGTTAGGACGTGTAGAATGTGAATGTGGATTTGTCATAAAAGTTTATTTTGTAAATTTTCAGGTATCCCATCTGCTGTCGGTTACCAACCAACCCTTGCCACTGACATGGGTAAGCACTTTTAGTTGATTAGTACAATCGTGATTAAATTAATTCAATGATCGCGAGTTATTGCTTCATCGACACTCACAATTGCTTTTATTTTAGGTCAAATGCAGGAGCGAATCACTACCACCAAGAAGGGATCCATCACTTCCGTGCAAGCCATCTACGTGCCCGCTGACGATCTCACGGATCCAGCTCCAGTGAGTCTTAGATTTAAAGATCTTTAAGAATTAGAATTAAGAAGAAAGTTTGAAAACTTTAAAATACCACCTATGACGATACATGTTTACGAAAGGAAAAGAGTGAATAGAATAGTTACGGCGTTAAAATTAGATTTACATTCTGTACTTTAGTCGATTTCTAGTCATAAATTTAATTTTAGGCCACCACCTTCGCTCACTTGGACGCCACCACTGTGTTGTCTCGTGGCATTGCTGAATTGGCCATCTACCCTGCTGTGGATCCACTGGATTCGACTTCTCGTATCATGGACCCCAACGTCGTCGGACAGAAACACTACGATATTGCCCGTGGAGTGCAGAAGATCCTTCAAGACTACAAATCACTCCAGGACATCATTGCCATTCTCGGTATGGACGAGTTGTCTGAGGATGACAAGTTGACTGTGTCTCGAGCCCGAAAAATCCAACGTTTCCTCTCTCAACCATTCCAAGTCGCCGAGGTCTGAAATTGTCTAGTTATTTTTCTGTAATCATTAAATCTAGGTTTTCACTGGACACATTGGAAAGTTCGTCAGCTTAGAGGAGACCATCCGCGGATTCCAAATGATCTTGAAAGGTGAGAGTTTGAATAACTGGAATTAGAGCTCGAGCTGAACGTTCAAATCTGTGCTAATTGTATAATTTTAGGAGAGCTCGACCACCTTCCAGAAGTTGCCTTCTACATGCAAGGAGGAATCGACGATGTGTTCAAGAAGGCTGATGAGGTAATTGTTTTGTCGCCAAACACTGAAACATTGTTTATTTTCAGCTCGCCAAGACCCATGCTGCTTAAACGAGCGAGATGATTCTCCCAACCGAATACGCTCTTATCCACTCGACCCGTAGTTTTTGTTCTCTCTCCTCCTGTAATTTATGTCTCTTATTCAACGTTTCAAATTGATTGTTTTTAGCTAGGAGTGATAAATGTTTCTATGTACTCTTTCATTGTTTTTCATAGTTCAATAAAAATGATATTAGTAGAACTAACGGTTAATCTAGTTCGCGCTGGCCCGAGCGAGAGTCTGGCTGGCTGTGCACCCAAACAGGACAAAAGATAATTTAAGCTTTCCGCTGGCTCTTTTTGGGCACGACCTTCTCATCCAAATAATTCTTCTGCGATGTAGCACATAATCTATTAGTTTGTACAGAGTGATAAGCCCGGTGTTTACAAAATTTTCAACGATTTATCAATTTTGGATAAAACAACAAAAAGATTAATTTAAAAACAAGATTGTATCGATGTCCGTATTGGGCGACCAGAAGAGTGTGATATCCTCCAAGATGGCTTCAAAGACATCTTTTCCTGGAGCGAGAGACGATCTCCATAATCCTTCAGCCACGTAGAACTATATCATCTGGCCGGCAGTGCCATTGTGTTGGCGATTTGCAGCTTTGTACGGCCGCCACATCGATTTAATAACCGTTGAGTCCAGTAGGTTCACAAAGTTAGTTGTATGATCAACCCAATTGAATGTGTAGTTTGGATGGCCTGCGAGTTGCTGATATGCTCCCCAACGATCTTGCTTGCAAGTGCAATGAACTTCTCAATAAAACCAATCATGGTGGCAGAAGAGCGATTTGGAAACAAAACGGCAAACTTTTCGTGGGTTTCTCTACAGACTCCACCGAATGGCCACTTTTCGCGTGGACTTTATCCTTTGTGATTTTTCCTTTCACCAAGAAGACCATTCATCTTCATTCATCGATTTCCACAGTTAATTCTGGACCCAACTAACAATAGGCTTTGTTAGTTGTTATTGGCTACACGCCAGGCACACACTTGACAGAGATAAAAAGTTCCCACTCGACAACCGTTTCTTTGTCGACTTTGAACGCTTTCATTGTTTCATTTGATTGTCAGCCCACAAAAAAAACAAGTTTCAAAATCGGGATCACCAGAAGATGGCTTGCTCGGAGCCAATTCGAGATACAATTTTCCTCTTGTTGCTCCTTGTGACGTGACTTTCTTCTCAGTACATCGGCAAAATTCCCAATGGAATTGAGAAGAGAATAGCAGAATAGCACACAGAAGAGAATAGCAGCCTTCTCATCTAATTGACACAAATCTCCGTAAGACGGGGTCATCCATAAACAAAAAAATAGTGGTGATGATTTAAAGAACAAACAAATATTTAAGAGAACAAAAAGGCAGGGTATTGATGGACCTCCAATAGGCTTTGTTAGTTGTTATTGTTATACGCTAGTTGTGCCGAGCCTCCCGGTTTAGATGTCGGTCGTGCTTTGGAGGTATCAGGGTTGGTCCCGATATTGCTTCAAATGATTAAGAGATCGATCCCAGTATTGTTACAGGGGAGCAGGAGGGAAGGGGAGGAGGAACTCGAGAGCTATCTCGGGAGAGCACGAGGGAAGGGGGGAGGAACTCGAGAGCTCAAACTATGCGTTAGCCCTAAAACACCGAGCGCTACTCTGATGTCGTGTCACACTTGTCGATCCGATGGGATTCCTTGTTGAAATCGCTAAGACCTTGAATTAATTTGCCAGTTTTATTTGCGATTCACATGTTTAGATTAAAGTGTTGTTGGTGTTCAGCGGAACAGTTTCTCTAAAAAAAGCTCAATATTTTTCTACACTGTTGGACATAATTTTAAAGGCAGTCGAATTTTTACGATTTTTTTTTTGAAAATCTCGAATATCCAATAAAATTGTCTTTTAAACATCATTACTATCATAATTTTACATCTTTAACTGGAAAAATCCAGCAGATGATAGGAAAATAGGAACCGTATTGGAACCGTATTGAAATTATTAAAACAAAATAGGAACCGTATCGGAACTTTCCACAACTGTGTCAACTTTCCACAAAAGAAAAGCCTTTCTTGTAGAGCAATGAACCGTATTGGAACCGTATTAGATCAAAAAAGGAACCGTATTGGAAACGTATTGGAACCGTATTCAAATTATTAAAACAAAATAGGAACCGTATCGGAACCATATTGGAACCGTATTGGAACTTTTAAAGACAAACCAAATTTATTCAGAAAGGGCCTCTGGCAACGGGAGTGGGACAAATGCGACCTTTTTTTTGCGCACCCGGACATTTGCACACCTTTTTTTCCGCACTTAGCCCATTAGCGCACCTTTTTTCGCGCTTTAAAAAAGCTCTAAAAAGCTAATATTAACCAATTTCTATTCTAAAAGTTGTTTTTTTAGGTAATTTTAGGGCGTAGAATCGAAATTTTGACATAACAGAGCGTGTGGAACCAATTTGAAAGACAAAACGGGCTAGGTCAAATTACAGAAAATTGTTGATTTTTCTCTTTGTATAACTCCGTCCGTTCGCTTCCACAAGCTCTGATATGCCAAAATTTCGATTCTACACCCTAAAATTACCTAGAAAAACAACTTTTGGAATAGAAATTGGTTAATATCAGCTTTTAGAGCTTTTTTAAAACGCGAAAAAAGGTGCGCTAATGGGCTAAGTCCGGAAAAAAGGTGCGCAAATGAGCTAAGTGCGGAAAAAAAGGTGCGCAAATGTCCGGGTGCGCAAAAAAAAGGTCGCATTTGTCCCACTCCCCTGGCAAGTGATCATAATTTTAAAGGCATTTGAAAAAAGTTAACAATTTTGCCTTAAATCATTTATTTTGTACTTTTAATGCATCTTTTTTCATTTTTTAAATGCTTACATGTCATCTTTTAGATATAGGTAAAGGAAAAAGACTTTCCGATCAAGAAAAAGGCATCATTGATGGCTTGAATCTGAACAACTGGAGTAACGGGAGTGGTAAAAAAAAAAATTTTTAGATCTTTTAATACGCGTGTGCAATTATTTTTTTCTTGTGTTCTGTTATTTTAGTGTTATCATGTGCATATTATTTTTTTTGATTTCAAGACGTTTAGAGATTTGCCCATATAGCAAAAATCCTTATCTCTTGACCCTTTTGAAATCATCAATCGTAGCTTTTTGGGGGAGAGAAAATCCTCAGTGGTTCACCTTTGCGAATTGGCTCGAGGCTTCGTGAATGGCCACAGCGTGTGTAGTGCGGGAAAGCGGCAGCTCTTTTTTCGGGATCCTCTTTGGTCGTTTTTTTTTGGGTGGTGGCCTCGTTGTATCGATTATTGTTCCTGGATGCAGCCTCAGGGGGCCCTTTTCTTTAAATGAAGGTTAGGCAGCCGCCCTTCAGCCTTCTCGGCTCCACTGCGCTGGTTGGCCTCCCGAGGGCACCTTATAGGGCCTTGTGCCTCTCTGGGTACCTCCCACTCTCCTTGCATCACTCGCATCGATCCAGGAAGCGGGCCCGGTCGTCTCCGTTTTTTTCTTCAGCTCTTGCTTCTCCTTCCTGCTTTCCGCCCTTTTTTTGGCTATCAAATTTATTTCGGACAAATCATTTGATTGGGTTGTCGCTTCATTTTTTTTGTTCTCAACGAGTTGTAATTGCTCTCGATCATCTAATTCGGGTTCTAAAGACTTTGAGGAGGTCATCTCATTATCAATTTACGCTATTACGCAGTCTTGCTTGTAATTGCCTAATTATCCAATTGATTTCTCTCTACTAGATTCGAAATTGATCTTGATTGGTTGATCTTGAGCTTGATCTTGACCTTGAGCTTGATCTTGACCTTGAGCTTGATCTTGATCTTGACCTTGAGCTAAGTTGACCTAAGTTGGCCTAAGTTGACCTAAGTTGACCTAAGTTGGCCTAAGTTTGGGTTACCGAAATTGCCCAATTTGTAATATTTTTTTGACTCCGCGCACTTCTATGGGAATTTCCCACACTATTTTGTTGTTTTAGTTTGTTGCAATTTGTTTGTTTGTTGAGAGCAATTTGTTGAAAATAAACTAGCATTTATTCAAAAATAGAAATCGAATAGAAACAAATGATGTGCAGATTCTAATCATAGTACATAGTACATAGTATATGTAGATTCAAAAACAAATTCAAGTTCCCAAGCTTTTTCAACTTTCTATTCTTCCCACTTGCCTAAACTTTACGAGAGCATAGCCAGCTTTTTGCCTGAATATCCAATAGTATTATTTTCCGAGTCTTTCAAAGGATGCATTGGATGACATTGGGGCTGGCTTTTTTATTTCACATTTTACGGAACTGTCCTAGTCATCGACGTATCGAATCTTTCACATCCATTTCCCTTCGTGTGTTATGAAATTCGCACATCGATTTTGAGCACAAAATAGGGCGCGACGCTATGCGGGAGAAAAGAGAAAAAGATTCGTGATTGCTTAAAGAAAAAGAGACGAACCCCCCTCTTTCTCTTTTTCTCTCTATTGATTTTTGTGTGTCGTTTGCTTCTTTGCACTGTGTCACTCATGTTTTATCATTTGGGTCCAGAAAAAAACAGCTCCGTTTCATCCGATTAACACTTTGTGGCCCCAAACTTTCCCATTTTTATCGATTTTAGCCCGATGACAGTTTTAGGAGGAAATTGTATATCGATTCTTTAAAATTCTTACCGATTTTGATGATTTTATTCGATGAATAGGCGGAGTTACCTCAAAACGATCGTTTAGTAAAGAATTACTCATTTTTTAGAACCACTCGCCTTTCATTTGTCTTTGTTTTCTTTTTTCCCGACTGATGTAATCATTTTTTTTTCTTTCAGGAAGCTTCACCGATCACCATCCACTCAATACAACTCGCGAAATGGAAGGAGGTATTGTTTGATTCGTTTTAACAAACCTAAGTGGCTAAAACTGGCAGTTGATAACATGGATTTCGGGCTAGTAGCATTTTACTAGCCAAATCAGAGCTCGATACGGTCTAATTTCAACCGATCTTTCATAAATCAAAAGATTCTTTAGTCAAAGTCGTGTCTAGATAGCGTTAACTTTATCGGCAAAATTTTGAAATACCACTAAACTTGTTTTTCTATTGAACTTTTAGCTCCAGGAGGTGATGGTGGTGCAGCCGGAGGAAGCCAAGGACCCCGTCCATCCAACAAACGACTTCAACAAACGCAAGCGCAAGTCGATGAGGTTGTTGGCATCATGAAGGTATGCATTTTAATGGTTTGAGAAATTTAAAAATGTCTTTAACGACTAGACGTCTTGAAAATTTGCAAAGAGTCAAATTTAAGCCAATTCTAAGCCAGACAATCTTCGGCTTTTTATCTTAATTGCCAGATAGAAGCTAGCAGATATGGTTTTAACAAAAAATAGCCTTTATGCCTGATGATTTAATATACCCAGACACTTCGGGAACCCATTTGCAAAGGCGTTTGTTGGTTCAAAGTTTGAATTTGAAACCTCTAGAGCTCTTCTATCTTGTTAGTTGAGAAATTTGAGACATGTGCGGTTTTACAAGTTTTCCCGTCCCGTTTTCCCGTCTTTTAACATGTGTAAATAATTCATGGATGAGATCAACAAACATTTTATTTATGTGTATGCAAAAAATAAGTATTTTGATAGGGGAAAAATTTCTATAAGACATTTGAATACTTTAAAATCAATGATATTGTTTTATTTAGGTCAACGTGGAGAAGGTGCTTGAGCGAGATCAGAAACTTTCGCAGTTGGATGACCGCGCTGATGCTCTTCAGGTATGAAAATTTGGTTTTCAAAAATTAGATCGAAATAGTGAAAGCATTTTGGAACTATCTTCAGCTTTTGCCCCATGATTTCTTTTAAAGAAGTGGAACAGCTAGAGAAAGACTTTTCTACAAACAATATTACGCTAATATTAAGTTTAGTTTAAATGGACTTGGCATTTCATTTAATGGAATACGCATAAAGTTGTTCATCAAACGTTTTTAACTTTTCTCTTTTCAGGAAGGTGCCTCTCAATTTGAGAAGTCAGCCGCCACGCTCAAGCGCAAATATTGGTGGAAGAATATCAAGATGATCATCATTATGTGCGCCATCGTCACCGTTCTCATCATTATCATCGTGATCTGGGCCGGTGGAAAATAAGCGAGTGACGCACGACGCTTTCTCGAAAGTAACATCGGTTTTTATTTGCTCTATTCGCTTCATTGTATGCTAAATTATTTCAAGATCGTCATCCGGTTCAATTCATTCCCAAACCTTTCTGTGTTTTGTTCAATTCGTCAACTCTTTTTCCTCCAAACACACAATATTTATTTTGTTCATATTGTCTGATTTTATTAGAGTGTGTGTATTCTCTTTTTCCAAGTTCCGCGTCTCTTGTGTTTTAGGACCATTTGTCTGAATATTATATACAAAGTGTTAATAAATCGATTAAAATACTGTGAAGTTGAGAAAACGCGCAAGATGGGTCAAAAGAGTCGGATACCTACCAAGTTTACTTTGAAGAAAAGTCACAAAAAGCTGCGATTTGGCGGCAGGTCTCATAAATTTCTTGTTTAAAGTTAGCGATCAAAGAATATTGTGCAAGATTGATTAATCCCACTACCATTAAAAGCTTAATAAGTACGAATCGTTGTACTGGCAAGTTATAAATAGACTTACTAGATACATATTTGCGGAGTCTATCTTTGATTATTGTTCTTGAGGTTGATTATTCAATTCTTTTCTCGAGTTTGAGATGATTGTTTGTTTTTAGATGCCCTACGACAACACACCCTACTTCAAGGCGCGCACGAAGCTGCTGGCGGCTCGACTTGGACAACACGAGCGATCCGGACATTCTGGTGAGAGATTTACTTGTTTATGCACTAAATCGCTCAAGTCTTTAGCTGATTTTGATCATAAACCATCAAAATATAATTGAGTGGATATAAATATGTTAAAAATTTTACAAATCTTTACTTGAATTAATCTTTTCACTTTCAGAAGCACAACTATTTTTGACGGCCCGCGAAAACTATCTTCACTACTCGAACACGCTCAAGCAGTTGGCCAAAAATTTATTGGGTAAATTGATTCGATATTATTGAGCTTGACCTTAACTTTTAGAATTTCATCAACTTGTCCGCGCCAAACAACCCGGCTATTTGTCGTTCAACTCTCCATTCACGCACACCACCGATAAGGAACGCGACAAATTTGACGCCGACACGGAAAAGGTAGAGTTGAAGTTTTTTTCTACAACAACGCAGATATTTAGGCTCTTAAACAAATGAAAACACTGCTCTCGTCGACGAGTCAAGCGGTTGTGGCTGATAAAGAGCTGAAGAAATTGGCACAGGTTGTCTGCTGGAAAATTCTAATTAAATTTGTTTAGGGCTACGAACATTTAAGCCATGTGGTGAGCATCGTTCGGGAACAATTGAAACATTTAGCGAATCAGATCACCACGATGAGGTAGTTTTTTTGGTTGTTGTATGTCTCACAACAAACATTAGACAATTAGTATTTTAAATTTTTTCATATTTAGAAAAAATCGGCTGAAACATGTGACGAATCGACGAACTTTTGGAAGCCTGCGTGGATTGGCTGAACATGCTAGAGCAAGAGGAATCGAGCTGGAGCCAAAAAATGCTAATCTAATGAGAAAAGGTGCTGATAGATTTCTTTAATCAGTTGCAATTTATGATTAATATAATTTGACGTTTTAGATTTAACTCCCGCTGGTGACAACGAGGAATCCACTTGGAAACTTCAGAATGATGAGAAAGCGGCTTTGTTAGGTTTGTTTTTAATCAAAGTCGTGTCATTTTTTTGCTTTTAGACAATGATGTGTTAGACACTTGGACGTGGAAAGAGGACACAACGAGTGACAAGGTTTTGAAATGGTTCTTGGTTAAGTGTTGACATCTTGTTTCAGACTGATGTCCCAACTTCTAACAAGCGAGAAGAAGAATCGTCTGTGCTTCGGAAGAGGAAACAAAATGGAAACAATTTCGAGGAGGACAATAAGGTTTTTTGGCGTTGATTTGTTGTATTCTAATTCTAATTTTAGCCTGAGTTGCCCGATATGCGAGATTTGAGTGACAAGGAGCGAACGCAGCTTACCCTCGAAAATGAGCAGATGTATGCTAAATTTTCGCAGGTAAATTGGAGTGTTGCTGGCAAATTTGTTATGGAAGTGAAAGTCAAAGACTAATTCAAGATCAAAGGCACCATTGGAAATTTTCTTTAGGCCAATGTCGAGATTGATCACCTCGAGACGCAAATCAGCGAGATTCAACATTTGCAGGCGACTTTCGCTGAACGGGTGTTTATTTGAAGTATGATATTGGAAACAATGATAGCTTTTAGTTATTGGAACAAGAGAAAGACATTGACCACGTGCATGAGATCGCCGTTCATACAACCGAGAATTTACGAGATGGAAATGAATGGATTCGGGAGGTTTGACCTATTTTATAACTCAAAAAGCTTGTATTAATTTTCAACTTGTACAATTTTTCGTTTTTTTTAGGCAATATCGGATAGCGCAAGCCGTCGAGTGATCGTCCTTTTTTGCATCATCGTGATCACTTTTGCGCTTTTGTTCATCGATTGGTATAATCCATGAAATTTTAACGAGTTTTCTTGTATTGGGGTTGTTTGTATGGGTACCTTGATTTGTTTTTGTGATATCCACCGTGAATAAATCTTTTTAATATCAAAGATTCGAAAAAAAAACTAGCTTTTTTTGGCGTGTTTTATTTAGAATTTTTGTAAAGTAAATGTAAAAAGGAAAAAAAACTTTATAGTGTGCAATGAAAGAAGAGGATCAGCCTCACAAAATGGATAAAAGCGACGAAAATAAGACGGAAAACGAGCCTGAAAAGAGTACGATAAAGGTGAGGATTAAGATGCGTGTTGTTAAGAATCTCACCGTACATACGCATCGAAATTTTTGGGAATATTGTTACGGATCACATATTGTCATTTTCACTATCGAAGAAAACTTTCTTTCCCTGTGCTTTTGTAAATTTTTTTCTTTAGGAGGGAAAAGCGATCATTGCTTTTTGTGGACCGACTTTCTACAATCCCGTCCAGGAATTCAACCGGGATCTCACGTAAGGAGGATAGTATTTTATAAATCTGTGATATTTTAGTGTATCCGCACTTCGGCAATTTGTGCGAGCTCGGTTGGCGGAAAGAGCCAAAAGAAACGAAGTAGTTATTTGAAATTGATTTGAAAGCAAGCAGCTTGAAAGTTTAGTTGAAAGATCAAGAAGAAAACGTCGCGAAGGCCGCCGAACCAGCACCAAAGAAAAAGAAAATACAAATAGAGGAAGAGGTTTGCAAAGAAAAGGTTTAATTTTTAACGAATTTCTTTCAGGATGGCTCGATCCGCATCTTGGATGCTCTGTCGGCCACCGGGCTTAGGGCGATTCGCTTCTCAAAAGAGGTTTTGGTGTTTTGATCTAAAAGTTATTGTTTGATTTAGGTCCCGTGCATTGCTTCAATTACGGCTAATGACTTTTCTGGTAATCGATCGATTAGAATATCAAATTTGAAAATTGTTTTAGAAAATGCCGTCGAAAGCATCAAGAAGAATGTGGAATTAAACGGATTGCAGCATTTGGTGACGCCACATTTTGGGGACGCAACGTAAGAATTCATTTTCTTGAGGGATAACAAGTATGATTTGTTTAGAATGACAATGATGGAACATCGGGGAATCGACAAACGCTTTCATTGTGTTGATCTGGATCCATATGGTGAGATAAAGCTTTGTAAATATTTTTATTGAATTAAATTTAGGTTCGGCGAGTCAATTTCTGGATGCGGCTGTTCAATCGGTGGCTGATAGAGGTATGGAAATCCAAAATTTGGCTTTAAAAATTGAGTGTTCTGGCAATTGTTAACTAGTCAATTCTGTGAAACCTTTCGTTTATAGGAATGCTGATGGTAACATGCACGGATATGGCCGTTTTATGTGGGAATACGCCCGAAGCGTGCTTCAACAAGTATGATTCGATTCCGATTCGGATGAAGAGTTGTCATGAAATGGTTTGTGAGTGATAAATTTTGGGTTAAATCTACTTTTTAGGCACTTCGAATCCTGTTGCGAGCGATCGAGACTCATGCGAATCGTTATGCCCGTTACATCGAGCCACTCGTGTCGATCTCGGTCGACTTTTATGTGCGCGTGTTCGTTAGGATGCACACTGGAGCTCGAGAGGCAAAAAATTCGGCAGTGTGAGTTTTTAAAAAAACTTAATGTAGACTTGTCAACAAAGCTAACCAACCATTGACTCCTAAATATTGTTTCTTCAGGAACGTCGGTCGGATCTTGTGTTGTTCGGGGTGCCACTCGTTCGAAGTATTGCCAATCATTCGGAAATTTCAAGAGGGAGCAAGTCTCAGATTCACTCCGGCCATTGCAAAAAGCGATTTGGTAAGTAGTCAGCTGTAGCTGAGTATCGTAATAATAACATGACTCTAGATGTCTCATGATCAAAAATGTGTTCATTGCGAAAGTCCACTTCATGAGGGTGGCCCGATCTACACGGGACCGATTCACAATCAGGAATTTCTTCGAGGGATCCTTGATGAGTAGGTGATAGATGTGATTTTTGTAAAGGTTTGCCTTTAGTTTGACTTCAACCGCTGAGGGTGATCGTTTGGGAACACATGATCGACTACTTGGAATTCTCACCGAGGCTTCGGAAGTAAGTTTTATACAGCACACAAATACAGTAAATATAGAGGTTTGCTTAAACTTCAGTGGTTTTTGTTTGCTCGTCTTGGTAGGGTTGCTTGGCTTTATGCGCTTCGAGCGAGTTTCGCAACTCAGGACTCGTCGAGCTGCGCGTTCGCAACGAGGAAACCGTCTGGATCTAAAGCTTTGTTTGATGTAAATATGGCCTTTTGGTGTAAAAGTGTTGTTTTTTCTAAAGAAAATCACCTTTCCACTTGGCCTTTGGGTTTTCCAGTTGAAAACCTCAAGTCGAACATCATGCGAAAAGGCCAGCATCACAAAGATTGATGTGTGTGGGCCGAACGCTTCGACCCAGCGCTGGAATTAGTCTCATTGTAAACAAGGTGTCACTTTTTATATACCAGATATCTTGCGATGTCGACGAAGATTTGGCAATTGATGCAATAACTTTGCATGATTGTTGACACGTGATAGATTGTGCTGGGAACGAGGGCAATGTTCTTGATAATGTTGTGCCAAGCCAGGAAACCGTATTCGTGGCGCATGTCCCTGCAAAATTTGAGAGCAAATTTAGCTTTTGTAGTCATGTTTGTCGTTCGGCAGTGTAGCTTTGGTTGCATATCAAACTGTAAGCATAAACATTAACCTCAAGGTGAGAATCGTCAACGTGTCGAGCACCAGCGATGGCACGCCGATGATGATATTTGCGCAAATCGAGTACCACTGGGTCACCTTAAACAGTAAAGTTAACGTGAACCGACACGATTGCTCTACTAGTGTGATCGTTGTGCCGTATCCGATCAGAAATCCGTCCTTATATTGGAGATCACCCCACAGGAGCATGTAGAAATGGGAGGAAGCTGTGACGATCCACAGCGCCAATTTCGTGGTTCGAACCTGAATGCGGTGTTTTTTTGGAGGGGCAGTATGGTTCATTGGGTTCCCTAAACTATAGACAAAACTTCAAAGTCTGACCACACTGCTCGACCAAAGCACCCGATACTCAAAAAACCATGCAACGGCTGTATAGCGATTGAATGATAAGACCTGGAAGTTGATTTTGAAATGTGGATAAAGCAAAGCCTTGGAGTACTTCCCGGACTTTTAAAAAGAGCAATACCAGTTGTGACAATAGCATGGCTAGTGAGGCGTTATCGGCAAGCATCGCCGTGTAGATGTACATTGGTTGGGTCCACGGCGGGAAATCGCCGATGAGAATAAGGCGAGTGACGAACTCGGCGACTAGATGGATGCACTCGAAAATGACTGAAATGCGAGGAATTTTTTGATTGAACAATTTCACTACATTCACTACATGAAACAATTAGTACATGTAGAAGAGGGGATTTTAAGTTTATGCAAGTACAAAATAGTGTTTTGGTGGACCTCAAGCAAGAGTTTCATTCAAAAATCGGAACTTTTAGAGTCAGGGATGTTCCAAAGGTCAAAAAGTCAAGCTTCGTCTTTTCATTTGCTCATGGCTGAACATTTTGACCAAAAATGGCTGTTTTGGCCTAGGTTGACCTGACCTGGCTTGACTTGGCTTGACCTGATAATTTTGGCCTATAAACAACACTGAATCGCCTGTATTACTGTAACACCCACGCGACGTCGTGTACACATCGAAATAGGCCGACTTGAAGATGGCGCGAAGCGAATTGGACAGTCTCGTCGTACAAAAAGTCAAAAAAGCCACATACAGTAGCTCGAGGAAATCGATAATGGACATGTTCTTGAAATGATACACCCGAAACAATTAATTTTCCCGGCAACTTTCTATAGAAAGTCGAAAATGGCCGCTGTTTCAGCTTGAGCCCCTTGAGCTTTACACTTGCACCTGCGCGTCTCTGAAAAATGACGTTTTTTTCAGAAACTCCCAAAGTTAATTGGCTAAATGAAAGAGAAAGCAACAAAGTTTCTTAGAAAATTGCAATTTTTAGGAGTTACCCGATGTCTCGTTGTACTACCATCACGATCAAATGTCGAACGTCGTGAAATGTGTGGTGCCGAAGATTGTGAACGTACGTTCGGCGATTCTGAACGCTGGCTACAGGGTAAGAACTTGATAGATTCGATTTTGCAGAAAAAATATTAATGAATAGTTTTTGAAACAGACTATGATAATTTACGGTAATTCCTAATCAATTTCCATTAATTTGTCAATTCCCCAGAGTAGTGTTAGTGGCGGGGGTGGTGATTAGGGCTATTTTTGACGCAATTTTTTACGAATTTTCTCATTTTTTTTGCTTTTTAAGCAAACAAATAGCTCATTATCATTACAAACCAATCAAAGGATATTTTGGGAATAAGTTTAAGAGTTGTGTAGGTGGTTTAGTAAAAGTTTCACAAATTGGCATAGATGATCAATAATCAGGATAGCGATTAACATTTTCATTCAGGTTTCCGGCTCTCACGCGAATCCGCGTGCCATCAAAACCGATGCGCCGACGAGTCTCCTCTGGGATATTTGCCGCTATGTGGTGGGTTTCAACTGCTTCACTATGGCTACTCTTTGCAATAAATTGATTAACTTTCCACCTTTTAATCAACCCCATAAAATCGAGAGATAGTTCATTTAGCAAAAGTCATAACTTTTTTCTTCAAATTCACTGAAGAAACTTTATCAATCCAGTTTCTTACTGTGAACTTTCTGACTGAGAAATTTGACGCCTTCTGAAATTGAGCACATTTTAAAAATCAACGATTCTAAAACTTTAAGGCATTAAGCTTTTAATCAAGCAAATCTATCAGAAACTTGTTGCCAAGCTGAACTTTCTCGAGTTGGTAGCCACTTTTTAATTTTTCATTTTAGGCCAAAGAATCGAATGTGAAGGTGGAGAAAATGAAGGACGACCTACCGGGAAAGAAGATTCTTCAAAAGCCGATCGGGTTTTTTTGGAATTTTATCTTTGACTTGTAGCTTTTAGGAGTACGATAGACTTCAAGCTGCATAAGGGTGCCGAATCACGAGCGAAACTCGATCAATTGGTAAGTTTAGCCGCTAGCTTTGAAATTAATTCGTTAACTGAAGGATGTCTCATTATTTTTCCAATTTCAGGTCCGCTTCCAGTGTAACAGAGGGAAAAACTGGGGACCCAAGCCCAAGGCGAAAGGATCGGTGAATTCGGTGAAAGCCGGCTTTCAAGTAAGCTGTAAACTGATCCTCTGAAATTCAACACAGGTTTCAGGACGTACCTGACCTAGTGGGTGACTAGATTATGTGAAGTACTAGGAATTGAAAAGATTGAGCTATTAATCATGTCCATAGTTACCTATATAATTCTTTTTTAGGCAAGTTGCCACATCGATGAAAAGGGCACAAACGTATGACCAGTTTTTTTCGTTTTTTATTTTGTTCTTGTTATTTCGTTGTTATAGTCATAAAATTCACACAAATTGTTCAGTGTATCACAAAAAACAATTCTTCAAGGTAATTGCTGAGGAAAAAAACCGATACACAAAATACATTTACGTAAGCCACACGAGATTTTTCAAATGAGTGAAAAAGTAAACAGGTCAACTCGCCAGCACATAAAACTTTGATGTGAACATCTAACTATTTGAATAAAAAAGAAATCGTGTTGTTGTTGTTGTCGTTGCTGCTGTTGCTGAAGTTGTTGCTGATTTTCTGGTGGGTATCTGGTCGACGAGCAGCACTAACCCTGGGAATCGTTTCGTCGCCGATGTGCATCTTTCATATCACAGAGTGCTTCGATGATGGACAAAATGCGTACAACAAGTAAGATTTTGAGGCGTTTTTCCGCTCCCCCCCCCCATTTGCGTCATGGAAGAAAAACAGAAACAAGATGAAAGCTTTGATCGGATATTGAAATTCATCCCTACTTATAGGTATAAGTGGGAATAAATTTCAATTTCTGCTCAAAGCTGTTGTTGTGATGAAATTTTTGTGATTTTGATTGTGATTTTCGTAAGCTTATTAATACTTGTTGATTTCAAGAGAATCGAGTTTTTTTTAAAGTTTTCAACCATTAGAGTTTCGTGAGTCAAATCTGCATATAATTTAAATTTATATTTACATTTAAAGCATGAATTTTTCTTTGCTTTAAAAAAAATTTTGCTTTATTTATTAATTTAATTTATTTTGCCGCGTTTTCGTTTGATGAAAGTGGGTTTCTTTTCTTTTTTTTTTTTGGTTTTCCCTGTTCGAGTTTGGTTAAAGAAAGTGTTTTTGCTATTTACACCCATTTTACCGTAGTCTAAACGGTGAATAGTTGGAAACGTAATGCATAAACTTCACAGGAGAGCCGGTTTTTCTGAAACTGAGCCGACAAATGAAACTGAAAACAAAACCGGGGGCAAAAACTCGGAATTGAGTTCTGTTTTGAATTTTGTTTTCTGAAATTTTCTGAAAAATGAAAATTTTCTTTTTTAAAAAAACCCTTTGATGAAAATATTCGGAAATTTTTTAGTTTTTAAGTTTTTAGCCTTTTCAAGCAAAAACAGCCTTTTCAAAAGCTCTAAACACATCAGAAATTCAAAATTCAAAATTCAATTTTTTTTTGGCTAAAATTTATCCTTTAAAATGTTGGAAATGTTGCTTTTTGTTTCTTTTCTTTTTAAGGTTTAATTTGATTATTTCTAATTATTTCTAATTATTTCTAATCGTTTCGATGTCTAATATTTATTGCATTTTACAGAGATTTCAACAAAAACTCGCCGGCGGAGTGAAAGAGCACGCCCGAGAGACAAAGGTAAACGATTTTGTGTGTGTGTGTGTTTTAAAGAAAATAGTGAATCATTGATGGTTTTTGTTGAAATCGAGTTTCGATTGGAAAATTTGACTTTCTTGTTAGTTCGTCTAGATTACCTAGAAACTGCTTCAGCTTTTTTTTTAACTAACAAGGGATCGTCACGAAACAAGGTGGCCAATCGAAATGAGACCTAGATGATTTTGTGTGTGTGTGTGTTTTAAAGAAAATACCGAATCATTGATGATTTTACGAGTTTCGATTGGAAAATTTAACGTTCTTGCTAAGAAGTTCGTCTAGATTACCTAGAAACTACTTCAGCTTTTTTTAACTAACAAGGGATCGTCACGAAACAAGGTGGCCACCTCCAATTCTCCAATCGAAATGAGACCTAGACGATTTTGTGTGTGTGTGTGTGTGTGTGTGTGTGTGTGTTTTAAAGAAAATACCGAATCATTGATGATTTTACGAGTTTCGATTGGAGAATTTAACTTTCTTGCTAAGAAGTTCGTCTAGATTACCTAGAAACTGCTTCAGCTTTTTTTTTTAACTAACAAGGGATCGTCACAAAATGAAGGTGGTCAATCGAAATTTGACCTAGACCATCCGATGCACAATTTTACGCTGATTCCGAATCTGCTATTCGTTTTTTGCTTCAATTCATAGCTTTGCACATTCGATTGTCCACTTTGAAGCAAAAAAAAAAGCTGTTTAAAAAAAGAAAAACTTAAAGGAAGTCGAACCATCGACCTACAGCTTTGCTTTCGTCCTACATCCTACAGCTCCTACGTATCCTACAGATACGTTATCCGCTACACTACGTAACCATTGTTTCGTCGCCCGCGCGCAAGTGTTATAAGAGAGGCGAAAAACTTGTTTGCCAAATTCATTGCAATTCCGACCTATTTAGCAAAAACGGACAGCAGATTCGGAATCAGCGTAAAATTCTGCATCGGATGGTCTAGGTCAAATTTCGATTGACCACCTTCATTTTGTGACCTTCGCTTGTAAGCCAGATTGTTAAAGCCAAATTGTTAAAATTTTCATGGAAACCTTTTGGGAACCGTTTTTACTATCAAAAAGCTAAGTTTCAAGTGATCAAGCTAATCTATTCGTTTCAGAACTCGACTCTAATCTTTTGTTTTATTCTAGATTCGAATGACGTCGATGTTGAGCTCGTTTTTCTCGCGCGACTCGCGCCCGCAATTCCCTTTCGACCTCACAGCACCGCCGTTTCACACGAACAATGGGATATCGATGTGCAAAAGTCATAAAAAGGTTTGGGGATTTCTTCTTTCGACCTTGCTGATTAGTCTTTTGAAGCTTTTAGTTAAAAAGTTGTGCTGGTTTGCCCGTAATATCTTGAAAAGCTTACAACTAGTGATAATGGATCTTACTAGCTAGAAAGAAATTTATCTACGAGATCTACGAGATCTACAGGACTTCTTTGCTAGCCAAATTTAGATAAAATCAATATGTATATGTCGTAGCCGATTATGAATGAGTGGGTTTAGGAGCGTCCAACCATCAAGTCTTTGGTATCATTCAACGCAGAATCATTAATAATTATGTTAAATTTTTAAAATTAGAAAGATTGGATAAAAAGAAAAAAATTATGGGGCCTCAAAGTTTCCTCTTGAACAAACAGTTTTTTGCTCTAATTTTTTTTTCTTTTTATCAAATCTTTCTAATTTAAAAAATTTAACATAATTATTAATGATTCTGCGTTGAATGATACCAAAGACTTGATGGTTGGACGCTCCTAACCCACTCATTCATAATCGGCTACGGGGGTTCCGCCGATTTTGAATGAAACGTTGTAATTTTTATTTTTAAGCGCCGGTAATTTTTAACCTAAACTCACAAATTTGGTACCAATCGACGCAGAATTTAATTCGCTACAGGATGATATAATATTGTCCTCATACATTAAAGGGTTGCTCTACTAGAAAGATTTACCAAAAAATTTCATTGATAATCGGCTACGACATATACATTTATTTATTTTCATTTAAGGGCGAAATCGAGGAAAAGGTGACACTTTTCGCTGCGAACATCACCGATTTGGCCGCTTCGTCACTGAAGTTGCACGCGCAAAAGCTGAAAACGATGCGACATCCTGGGATTTTGACGTTTATCGAGAGTGCTGAGGTAGATTTTCTTCTCGTTTATGCTAGAGTTATTATCGATTGTCAAAATGACTTTCGTTTTTCTAAAGCGAGCAAAAAAATTTACAGAGGACGCATTAATTATGGGCCGCTTAATAGACGCCAAGAAAAATCCCTATTGCCATTGTTTTTAAATCTTCAATCTTTTACAGATATATATTGTTAAACTAGTTAAGGTTTATTCCACAAAAAGTTTCATTAATAGCATCTTTTGCTTTCGCTCACAAGCAATTCTTGTGCAAGACACCCAGAAGAAAGTGTTTTTTTGAGGTTTCGCTTTGATTTCTTTGGCGTTCACAGTTGGTGACCTTAAATGTTTTGGGCTTTCTTGTTAATTCAATATTAAAGACTATAGTTTCAATAATCTGTTTATGGGAGTTTAAGTTTCTTAGCAACAATCCTCGCGGAAGTCTGGCACCAACTTGGTGGCGGTTACTTAGTTACTTACTTACTTACTTACGCGCCTGCCAAATTCCTGGCCTTTGAAAAAGATTTAGCAGTAAATTACGTTAATATGCTCATACTATACAGTAAATTAATGATTCTCCTTGTCAAAAGTTTAAAGAGAATGCTGCTTTGTCAAAAAGATTGTGTTTGTTAATAAGTGAAAAGTGTTTTATTGAGAAGAAAGTGTTTTATTGAGGTTTCGCTTTGATTTCTTGGGCGTTCAGAGTTGGTGACCTTAAATGTTTTGGGCTTTCTTGTTAATTCAATATTAAAGACTATAGTTTCAATAATCTGTTTATGGGAGTTTAAGTTTCTTAGCAACAATCCTCGCGGAAGTCTGGCACCAACTTGGTGGCGGGTACCCACGCGCCTGCCAAATTCCTGGCTTTAGTTTGGCTTTAGCTTTAATTCGTGGAAAAAGATTTAACAATAAATTACGTTAATATGCTCATACGATACAGTAAATTAATGATTCTCCTTGTCAAAAGTTTAAAGAGAATGCTGCTTTGTCAAAAAAGATTGTGTTTGTTAATACACATTTCTAGCTGAGAGTCTTTTAAATAGGGAGGCACAAAACTAATGCGCACCCTCTATTTCTAAAGCTACTCTAGCCTTTTTTCATTTCATTAGTCCATACCTATACCTGTTTTTTAGATTGATGGGAAATTCTACTTGGTCACCGAGCCGTGCCTTCCCCTTAGCGCATATTTTGACGACACGTCGATAAACGCCGAGCAAAAAGAGTTCATCGTCAGTTGGGGAGTGTATCAAGTATTGGTGAGTGATTGAGTTTACACGGACAGCTCTAAAACATTGACGAATTAAGCCTAGTAGTTAAGAGTTCTTGACAAAGCTTACAATTGTTGAAAGTTGAACTGTAATCTAGGCAACAGCTGAACTGTAATCTAGGCTTGAAACTTTAAATAGCTTTTGAAACATTTAGCTCAACTGGCTTAATTATTTAATGCAAAATTTCGTTCGTTCGTTCAAGTTCGATATTTCTTTTTTTTCAGTCGACGCTGAAGTTTCTCCACCAGGCGAACGTTTCACACGAGATGGTGAGAATGAGTATCTACGTGACACCGGCAGGCGACTGGAAATTAGGCAATATGGGCAGCTCGGGGAATTTTAAGTGAGTTTTTATCAAAACTTCAGACTTTAACTTCAGACTTTTAAGACTTCAGAAACTTGAGTTTTAAGAATTAAACAATACCAATTGGCAATGTGTTTAGCTCGTTAAATAGCTTGTTGTTTATGACAAATAATTTCAATCCCATCTTTTTAGATCTTGTAGAACCGATCTTAACCAGCTGGCGATCGCGATGTGGGAGGTATTCAACGGCTTTAAAGATGACATTAGCAAGCCCGAGCCACCTGGAAGGTTAGTTTCTTTAGGTTTGGATACAAAAATGGCTTAGTTGTCTGCAAAAAAATCGGCAAGAAATAGCTTAGTTGTCTATATAAAGATTTCTTTTTCAGAATGCCGAAACGACTCCATGATTTGTACAAGAAAATGGCGACCGCACAAGTGGAAAAGTATGGCGCTGAGGAGTTGATTCGGGGTGAGCGTTTTTTTCTGATCTGATTTGATAATTAAGGTTTCTTTTGTTCGAATGTATCTTAACTATTTTGTCAAATATCTGAAAAACTTTTCAATTTGATACTTTTTTTGATCAATTTGAGACTTTTTTTGATCAATTTGATTATATTTGATCTAATATTTTTTTTCTCAGGAAATCTCTAACATTAAACTTTCCAGAGTCACGGAATACGGGCGGGTTCTTCAAGAATCGCTTTGTCGACACGCTGCTGTTCTTGGAGGAATTTCAGCTAAAGGTATTGGAAATTTGTGTGTTTTAAGTTGTTTTTGTTTCTTTTTTTCAGGAGGCTCACGAGAAGCAGGCGTTTTTCACGAATCTTCGCGATCATCTCGCGATTTTCCCTGATGGAGTGGCCAAATACAAGATTTTACCGAAGTTGATTCTGGTAGGGTTTTTTCAAAGTATCTTGATTGATTGAAAATCTGGTTGCTTAAAAGAATTCTTCTTTTTAGTCTTACGAATTTGGTGATGCCGGCCCGAATATTCTCATCCCGCTCTTCAAGCTCGGTCATTTGTTGGATGAACAGGAGTATCAGCGAAAGATCGTACCGTGTTTGGTGAAATTGTTTAGGTGCGTTTGGTGGACTGTTTTATCTTTAAGTAAAACTTTAAGCTAAGCCTAAGCCTAAGCCGTCATTTTATCATTTCAGCTCTCCCGATCGAACGACTCGCGTGAAATTGCTGGAGCGAATCGACGAATTCGCCTCGCATCTCACTCCACAAGTTGTGAACGAGAAAATCTTTGCGTGAGTTTATTTGTTCATTTGTGTTTAGTGATCAAGCGAATTCTGAAGGAAAATTGTTTTTCTTTTAGCAATCTCGCCACTGGCTTCATGGACACGTCGCCGGCGGTGCGTGAGACGACGGTCAAAGCGATGGTGTCGCTGGCAGAGAAGTTGAATGTGCACAATTTGAACACGGAGCTGATGAAACATTTGGCACGATTACAAGGTAGATTTCGGACAGATGAAGAATGTCGAAAATTGGAGGACATGACAAGAATAGTTATAGATAAATGATAGAAAAAGTATGATAATGCTGCTTTGATTTGGTAACCCTATTCAAATTTGGCGTATAATGTAAAGATTTAGATGTATTGTAAAGTCTAGTAAAACATCATTATTGGCTTTTGTTTCTAGGAACTGATGAACACGGTGGAATTCGAACGAACACAACAATTTGCCTTGGGAAAATCGGAGGCTTTTTGGAGCCGTCGAATCGACAAAAGATTTTGATTGGAGCTTTCACGAGGTGAGGGTTGCCTTTTTTTTACGCTAATGTGCATCATTTCATGTAATTTGAAACCAAATTAGTTCCTTGGCGAACACGATTCGAAACATTGCTTACATTTTTCTTTCTTTCAGAGGCCTCAAAGATCCGTTTCCGCCGGCGAGAATGGCCGCCGTTTTGGCTTTATCTGCTACACAACAATTCTACTCGTTGGTTGAGGTTCGGTTTATGAGGCGATCATTTCGGTTAGATCGACAAAGGAACGCTCATCGCTCAAAACAACAAGCGATTCGAGTGACGAAGTGCATCTATCTAACTAATGAAAAGTTCTATAAGATGAACTGCCTCACACGAATTGTTCGTTCTTAACGTTGAGCGGTATCATTCCCTTGTTAGACTTGTGAGGCAAGTACTTCTCATTCCATTGTATTCTTTTCAGGTGGCCAATCGAATCGTGCCGGCGTTGGGACCGATGACGTGTGATCCAGAGAAGCAGGTGAACACTTTTTCGCGCCTTATTTATTCTTTTTTTGTTTTTTACAGGTCCGTGACCAGGCTTTCAAGTCGATAAAGGGTTTTTTGGAGAAATTGGAGAAAGCCAGCGAGAATCCGGAGATCATCCCCGAATTGGAAGCACAAGTTGGTTATTTTTTAGAAAAAGTTATCATAATTTATTTCTAGGTGAAAGCCGGTGGCCGGGGTTTCCTCGATTCGGATAAGGTGAGTTGTTTTTGTTGTCAACTTTAAAAATCGTACTCGTAATTTCCAGGTTCCACAATGGGCATCGTGGGCGTTAAAGTCGTTGTCTGGGAAATTCTACAAAGGTGCCCCACCACCCACCAACACCACAACAGGAACGGCGGCAAAAGACGACGATAGTGCGCAAGGTACCGGGTTTTTCTTTGTTGTTTAAAGCCTCTAATGTCTAAATTTTTAGCTCAACCAAATGTCGAGTCGGGCGCCACGCTGCAAGCGTCGAGCGCACTGAAGCCAAAAGTTTTGGAGCCGACGCGAGATGCCGAAGGATGGGGAAGCTTTGAGGATGAGGATGAGGGTGTGTGATGAAGATTTTTTTGGCATAACGCCGTAATACCAGTATAAACGTTTAGGATACAATAGTTGGTCTATTTACTTTTAGTTTAAAAATTAGCTATTGTAAATGATTGTTTTTAGAAAATGATGACTCGGATGTGTACACGGACGCTCGCGAATCGATCAGTCAGCACGGGAAAAAACAGAATAACGACAACAACAAGAATGGAAATGAGGACAATGATGACGATTGGGGAACTGGGTAAGCACTGCTGCTTTCTTGCACCGTGGATAAGTGGAGTATTTTTGCTTTAGATGGGAAAAAGAGATGTCGAGCGGCTTGTCGGGAATCGAGCTCAACAGAGCAACGGTTGGTTGATGTAGAGAAGCCGTTAGAAGCTTAAATCTTTATTTTAGACCACCAGCACCGCTCCGGCACTGAAGAAACCGATAAAGTCGAAGATGACAGCAACAACAACAACTGGCGGTGGAGGAGGTGGCTTGAAGTTGGGTGGCGGAAGTGGACAAGACAAGATGGCATTGAAGGGAAAAGAATTGGGTGAGTGCTTTGGATGCTTTAGGCAGGACAAGTCTCTGACTTTTAGCTTGAATTACAATTAGCCAGTCTAGCTGATCAAATTTCGAAACCATTAGTTCAACTCTAAAGAGAAAGTCGACAAAAGAAAATAGGCTTTTGCTTTGAATTAAAAAAAATTTAACACGTTCAATGCGTTTTCTTTTGTTTCTTCGCAGCCTATACAGGGTTTCCTTCTTCATTTGGGCACCTTTCATTGGGACAAATTCTTTTAGCGTTCAACTAGCTAGCTTTTAGTTTAGAGCTCTTTTTTTGCTACCCCTTTCATTTGCTTTTCTTTTTAGACAATCAGGATCTCGACTTTTTACTCGGTATCACCAACACGCCGAGGGATTTGTCGACGAAAACGGCCGGAAAGAAAGCGACAACCAGCAATACTGCTGCTACTTCTGGTTGGGGGTTTTTTCGGTTTCTCCTCAAAATTGCTTGTCCTTTAGTTCTTCTGAGTTTCTTTTGATTTAAGTCTTGCGCTTGAGAAAGCTATGATTCTTTTGATACAAAGGGTTTTTTAGCCGGTGGTAGCTGGGAAATCGACGACGATCCGATCGGGAACAACGATTTTGATGAGTGGGGAAGCACTACGGTGATGACAAAGGGTCAGTTTAGTGAAATATAAATTTGAGGTCAATTTTAAGGTTAAAGAATCAAAACAGAACCAAAAACATTCTATTGTCGAGTATGCCATTATTCTTCTTTTTTCTTTAGCTCCTCCCAAACTCGCGCCACCGCCAGCCGTTTCTTCGTCGGCTTCTTTGCAAGGTAGAAAGTTTATTTTTGATGTTTTAAAGCAGTGATTCGGATTTTAATTTGTATATGAATACTGTGTTTTTCGTTTTTCAGCAAATCGCGAGGCTCGACGCGCCGAGATTGCCGCAAAAAATGAGGCAAAGCGGAGGGAAATTGCCGAGAAAAGAGCACAACAACAAAAGGGAATTGGAGGAGGAAAGGTGGGCTTTTTTGGAGTTGAATGGATAGGATAATTTGTTATGATGGATGGTATTGACAAGTTGTTTTCAACTCTAGTCACCAGCCATTCAATTTCAATTTTTTATGAGCATAAATTAGGTAAAGCTAAAAAAGCTATAAGTGGCTGACAAAATGGGCACACTTAACACCGGAAATCTTATCAAAAGCTTTCGGCTTAACTGATCAAATACAACTTTGACTCTAGTAGGCTAAGGGAAAATTTTGAATGCGTAGCCGCGCTTTGAAGGTCCATAACTTTGTTTAGAGAGAAAAACTATCGTCAGCTTTATAGAGGATACTTTAGGCTTTTGCATGAGACAAAATAGAGCTTGATTTTGATTATGATTGAATTGCATTTAGGTTCCAACGAAAACACCGCCAGCCGCTAACAATGCTTCCACTGATGGCTGGGAGGATTTCTAGAGGGAATGATGTGCGGGTGATGATGAAGATGATGACGGTGATGATGATGATGATGATGATTTCCTTCCTTCTTCTGTATCGTTCTATTTATTCTGTTTCTTGTCATTTTAATTCCTACGTCATTATCATTTGGCTGTGTTCTTTCCGTTTTCTGCCTAAAAGATGCGCTTCTTTTTCGGGGGAAAGCTACCGTAATCCTGACTGATATCCGATATCGGAAAGCTACCGTAATCCTGAGTGATATCCGATATCGGAAAGCTACCGTAATCCTGACCGATATCCTTTTTAAGCTTCACCAATTTACGAATAAGTAGTCTAAAATGTGAATTACATATTTCATTCTAAAACAGTCGATAATTCTCATTTCACTTCATTTTTCCCCTTTTTCTATGTGCCTTTTTTCTTTTTCGGGACTTTCCGGGATTCTCCTGCTTTTAGTGTGGTGTTTAATTGCTTTTTGGGCTTTTTTTTAAAATGTGCATAATCTAGAGACCTTTTTTCGAAGATTTATGCCCGATTTAACCAGCTTTTCATCTTTTAAGCCGTACTTTTTTTTGTTTATTTATTTGTTTTTCCGAGCTGAGAACTGTGATACTTCTTTTTTTTGCGTTCTTTCTTCTTCACTTCTTTTCCTCTTTTCCTCTTTTCCTCTTTTCCTCTTTTCCTTACACACACCAATGCACATTCGTTTGTCTTTTTTTTCTTTTTATTTCCTACTCTTTAAACGATGATTCTTATTGATATTTATTGAGTGAATTCGCTGTTCTTATTTGATGAATAAAGAGATGACTTTGAGTTGATCTATCTTTGGATCGATTCTGCACGATTTTGACTTTCTTACTTGGATTCAATCAGAAAAATTAGGCAGATTAGGGGAAATCGAAAAAATGCATAAGGAAATCTTGGAAAACCTTGGAAATTTTCAGCTTTGACACGGCAAAATGGGCTCTGGTGTTTGTAGTCTAGTATCAAACCGTCGCTCTTTTTTTTTAGAAACTCTCTCCCTTGTGGGGAAAAACGGGAGAAGAAATTGATAATGTCTTTCTTTTCTTTTCTTTCATTCGATTGCCTAAACCATTTTCTTTTTGAACTACACACACACTCAAAAATTCTTGTGAAAAGAAATTTTTTCTTTTTTTTTACACATTTACCATTTACCATTTACCTCTAATTTCTTATTGTTATTTTTATTTTTTATTCTTATTTTTAAGCTTATTGTATAAGAGAGATTTTTCTTGAAAATACTCAAAAATGATGAAAATCTTTGTGAAGAATTCAGAATGACTGTGTTGAGCAAATTTGTCGCTGGCACACTCGGCATGAAGGTGCTGACGACGAATTGCTACGAGACGTGTCACACATGGGAACCCGATTGCACGAAAGCTATTCAGGTGAATCAACTAAATTCAAAGATTCACATAGATCAGCGTTTTTTTTTTTTTGAGAAGCGATTCTTCTGGGACTTTAGCTTTGTACAGACTTCGCGTTGATTTAGCGACTCATTTTATTATTCCTTATCCAGAAAATAGTTTGGCTTTATGGAAAACATGGCTTGAGTCTGTGGAGCTGATCTGAAGCCAATTAGCTTTATCTGAAGCTGATCTGAAGCCTAAGCCAGACTTGATTTAGACTTAGACTTGGGCTTAGGCTTGGCTTAGCTGGCTTAGCTTAGCTTAGCTTAGCTTAGGCTTAGGCTTAGGCTGGCTTAGGCTGGCTTAGGCTTGGCTTAGGCTTAGGCTTAGGCTTAGGCTTAGACTTAGACTTAGACTTAGGCTTAGCTTTAGCTCAGGCTTAGGAACTATGCTCCAAGTCTGTCCTAAAACAGTCAACTCTAAAACAATGTCATCTCGAAATTTTAGGCAGCCGTCCCTGAGGCGCTTCTCTTCAGCCTGCGAACGTATGCGATTTTTTATGCGGTGAGCTTTTTATTGAGATTTATCTATTTTTAAGTACTTTATACTCAAAAACGTCTAAACACACCCTTTCTGGGATACTCAAAGCGTCTTTGTTGAAATCGGTTCATCATAAGCGGTGTGTTTACAGAAGAGCTTGGACACAGTTGAAACTTGTCAGCTGTATTTTGATTTTGAGCTTTCTAAACCTACTTTAAGCAGATTCCGGTACGCTAGAAAAGATGTGTTTACGAATGCTCAAAGTTAAGCTCAAAGTTTTCTAGGGTTTTCTTTTTTTTCTGAAATCTAGCTTTTAAAAGTTTTAAAAGTGTTCTAATACACTTTTCAGTTGATACTGAAGTACACTAGAGGCGAGGCGTTTACAGAAAAAGCTCAAAGTACACAAAATCTTTTTGCAGCTAGGCGAACTCGTCTCGACGAAGGGTGATCCAAGGAAAATCCGATGGAAGCGCTTGCTCGCAGCGATTTCTCGTTCATCGCTTTTTTTGACGACGAATTTAGTGATGTATTTGTGGTATATGTGCAGAATTCGGTAAAACGATGTTTTTGAGTTTAATTTAGTTTGATTTTTTTCTAGAAATTTGATGGGCTTCTGGACGTGGCCAACACTTGGTTTAACGAACGGACTTCTTTCGTCATTCACAGCGATTCTGATTGAGAAACCGGCACGGCGACCCGCTTTGGCATTATATTTGACGAATTTGGTTGGTATTTGGAGAAAACTCTAATAGAATTTACGATTTTAGTCTGCTATCAGTAAAAATAACTATATTTTTGAAAACTAGCGTCTAGAATTTTTACATTCACACGCAGTGCATTGAATTAGCTAGTGAAGTATTTGCTTTTGGATAGCATTGCTTGAGCTTTGAACTTGTAATTGTAAGTGTAATTGTAATTGTAACTGTAATGTAATTGTAGTAATTGTAGTAATTGTAGTAATTGTATGGTAGTAATTGTATGGTAGTAATTGTATTGTAGTAATTGTATTGTAGTAATTGTATGGTAGTAATTGTATTGTAGTAATTGTATTGTAGTAATTGTATGGTAGTAATTGTATGGTAGTAATTGTATTGTAGTAATTGTATTGTAGTAATTGTATGGTAGTAATTGTAGTAATTGTAATTTAATTGTAGTAATTGTAGTAATTGTAGTAATTGTAACTATTGTAACGATTGTAACGATTGTAACTATTGTAATTGTAATTGTAGTAATTGTAATTGTAATGTAATTGTAATGTAATTGTAATGTAATTGTAGTCCTCATTAAACGATAGAAAAATTGAGCGAATTTTGTAAAATCGAAAAGTTTAACTACAATAGTTTTCTTAAATAGATGTTTTCCATTTTAGAAAATGGATTACTTGAGAGGATCTTGAGATTGATAAACTCTCGATAAAGCCTTATTGAGATCTTGATAATCTTAGAAAAAGAATTCTAATTAACAGTTTTAAAAATGCGATTGTTTACTGTTAGCTGTTACTTTTCTCTTTTTCACTTTTTCACTTTAGATTATTGTAGGTTTTTATGATAAAAGTTTACTAAAAAATGACGAAATTACGAAATTTTCATTTTCAGGCCTCCGAGACAGCCTATCGACAAGCGGTCAGCCATGGGTATTTACGTTTCATCCCAAAAGGACAATGGATTGTGAGTGTCGATTTAAAATGTTCTCTGTTGTTCAATTGTCTAGTGAGATTGTCAATTGGTAAACGAGATTTGCCCACTATCAACAGGTGTTTTTATCAACAGGATTTGCCCTACTTTTTCAGGGGTGCCTTTTTTAGGCATGAGGCTTCAATGGTTGGCTACTTTTTTTTAGGGTTTTTTTTAAGCCAAAAGATAACACTTGAAAAATGCTATCTTTACTCCAGAAATCCAGAAAAATTAATCGTTAAAGTGCGCCGACAAAACTCGTGTTTTCTTGTTGACAATCGAACTGACAAATGACAGCACTCGTTTACTGAAGTGCTCGAAATGAGAGACGATCATTTCTAGGCTGGCTTCTAGGCTGGCTACTGTATTTGTAATGTGGCTACCGTATTCATCTGGTTACTGTAGAGAAATCTGAGAATTTTCGACGTAAACGTCAATAGGTATTCAAAAGAAAAATGTGATATCTTGGCGAATTTCACTTTGATCTTTTTCCTTTTGATATCAATTGATGCAGAATTTCATTTTCTATTGATTGAAAACAAAGATAGAGTGAAATTTTAGTGAAAATATAGCCTTTTTTTGCGTTGGAAACCTATTGACGTTTACACTGGGAAATTCTTAGTGTATACCTTCTCCTATACCTTCTCAGAGCTACTGTAGAGGTTTGAAAGGAAATACCGTAATCTGGAATCTAGAATGATCGGATTTTCTTCGATTTCTTGGATTTTCTCTTTAAAAACGAATTGATTCATTTAGGTTTTCTCGCTTGGCCTCGGGCTGTATTATTGGTTGAAAGGCGAGGGAAGACTCGAGGCGTCTGGTGGTGGAGGGCTTTTAGAGTAAGTTTACGAGAGTAAGTTTAACGTAAGTTTAAGAGAGTAAGTTTAGAGTAAGTTTAGCGTTCTTTCTTTGGCTTTACCTTAGGAGAAATGTAAACAAAAAAAACTGTAAACGCACCCCATCTGGCACACAAAACACTCGAATCTTTTTTTTGATTTCGCAAATTGAGCACTTATAGCTTTGGGTATTCTTTGTGCTCTTCGAAAATTGTAAAAACGCGCGATCTGGCGCACACAGCACTCAAATATTCGTGAGATTTGACTCAAGAAAGCTGGAGAAAACTGAGTGTGCCAGAAAAGCTGTGTTTTCAATTTTAAGAGCACAGAGTACGAGAGATGACTTCCAAAAGAGTTGGGTGATTGATCGAAATTGATCCAAATTGATCGAAATTGATCGAAATTGACCCAAATTGATCCAAATTGATCAAAATTGATCGAAATTGATCGAAATTGATCGAAATTGACCCAAATTAATCCAAATTGATCAAAATTGATCAAAATTGATCAGAAATTGATCGAAATTGATCGAAATTGATCGAAATTGATCGAAATTGATCCAGATTGATCCAGATTGATCAAAATTGATCAGAAATCATTTTCAGAAAGATCCAGGGCATCGACGAGCACGCAGTTTTGCCCAGCTGGTTGTGGACAAAGTTGCCGACAAAATTGAGGGAATATTTGATTGAGCTGAGAAAAGGAGACAAAGGGGATGAGTGCGGACACGAGTTTTCATGTGCATCGGCCGTAGTCGAGGTGGAGCAAGAGCTTCGTTTAGCTAATTACAAAAAGATCTATCGATATTATCGATTAAAAAATATAAGAAAAGGATTTTTGACGACTGCTCGCATCGAACCATCGAGGTTTCGAGCGAGAGACCAGAGCGTTATCCATTAGACCATGAAGGGGCTTTAGGGGGGCGGCTCGAAAAATAATTGAAATACGAACGAACTCGGAAATTGCTTCCATTTGAATAGTCCTTCAAATCGTTTTCTAAATGGTGGACTTTTGTGAAAATTACCGTAATCTTTTTTTTGATCAAATCTATTACGGTATTTCTTCGAATAGAAGACCGGGTAAAGAGTATGATCGCGTACTCCTGCATAGCAGCCCTTTTTAAAATTTCTTTTCTGCATAAAAGCTTTCAATCAAGTGCTATAGAGCTGGAAAATGGCTCAAAAATCTGTTAGCTCATGTGGTATTTTTGAGTCATTTTCCAACCCTATAGCACTTGATTGAAAGCTTTTATGCAGAAAAGAAAGTTTAAAAAGGGCTGCTACGCAGGAGTACGCGATCATACTCTTTAGCCGGTCTTCTATTCGAAGAGATACGGTAAAATGGGCAAAAATTCGAGAATTTAAAAAAAAAAAATTTGCTTTTCAGCCATCTCTACGCAATTTTGTGATCGGTTTTGGTGTGTCGAGTTGTTTAACGATTTTGAGAAATCTTAAAACATTGAAGAAACAACCATTAAAGGTCTTTGAAATCATTAAAATTTCTTTTTTTCTTACCAAATTTTTAGATTCTCTTCACATTGTTAAGCAAAAATAATTTCCGAATCCCGGCTTTTATCGCGTTGATGCCATTTTTGTATAATGTGAGTGGGAATTTGAATCAATTTGAATTGAGAATTTGAATTGAGAATTTGAATTGAGAATTTGAAATGAGAATTTGAATTGAGAATTTGAAAATTTGACGATTTAACGATTTTAGACGATGAATTGTGGTTTACGACGATGGATTCCTGGGGAAAATTGGGAAACGACGAGGTGAGTTTTTTCTTTTTTTAAAGAAAAATGTTTCTACAGGCACTCTTGAACTCTTAAACTTTTTTCTTTTTTTTAAGACATTTTTCTTTGACTTAGACAGATCACAAGAGAGATTAAGCCTTGGCTTGGCTGGCTTGGCTTGGCTGGCTTGGCTGGCTTGGCTTGGCTTGGCTGGCTTGATTGACTTGCCTTTCTCCTGGATTAAAGCTTTGTCGATTGTTGTTAAGGACGAAAAAAATGATTGCAGAAACTCATGAAGCTCGTAAATTGCAATTCAGAAAAACGGTAGCCGGCTTGGTATCCGGGGTGGCGATGCGTGCTTTCCCGAATGTCACTATCGCAATGTACATGCTATGGAAAGCGATCTCGGTGAGTTGGATCATCGTTTGATCCATCGTTTGATCCATAATCATCGTTTCAAAATCGAATTACCTTTTTTATTCAGCATCTTTTCGAGGATTTACTCTCAAAGGGATATCTTCCAAAAATCCCGCATGGAGCGACGCTTTTGTACACACTGGCCACAGGATATGTGCTTTTTGTGGCAGCGATCGAACCGCATTCGTTACGGAGTGGATATTATGAGTTTTTGATGGGATTAAGCGGCAATCGGTGAGAGATTTTTTCGGGGAAATATGAAAAACAAAGATTTGCTCTAGTTACCGTAAGTCTAGCTGGGTTTTTGGTGATTCAGCTGGATTCAGCATCGAATCAGCGAGCTTTTTAAGCCGAAAACCAAAGCGCTAACCATTATGCCTTAAAAGAAAAGGTCTTGGGTTGAATTGGTTTTGGAAAATGATTCGAATAGGCGCCAGCTTAGGCTCTAGACTGTTGTAATTGGCTCTAGACTATTGGAATTGGCTCTAGACTGTTGAAATTGGCTTCTGAACAAGCTCAGGGTTACGGTAACTCGAGAGGGCTTTAGTTTAAGTGTTGGGGGAAAGCTGAAAGAAATCAAAAAAGGATTCCAGGCTGGGTTTATTGAATCGAAAATTGTTCGATGGAGTCGGCTTCAACTCGTCGAAAATGTTTCCGCATTTTTTCCCGATTTTAAATCACCGTTTTGTCACCAGGAACACAATGGAATACCATCCGATTCCAAGGGTTTAAGCTTTTAACACGTTGACGACATTGGCGTTTTTGCACAAACAATCGCATGGGACAACGTTGTTTTTTTTCGACAAAAAATGTCACCTGACATCAGGTGACAATGTCCCAGGCGAACGAATATGTGTCAGACAGCATCAGGTGACAATTTCGTCAACGTGTTAAAAAGAGATCGACTTTATTATTATTATTATTATTATTGTATAAACGGGTATCATAAGAAATTTTGTAGACCTCGATTTAAAGTTAATAAATTTGTTTTTTTCAAACGACGTTTTTTCACTTCCTTTTTTGTCCATAAAGACGCTCATTTATTAAGTAAAAAAAAAGCGGAAAAGGTGTTTCGGTGAAGCTGCTAAATGTATTTATGTGTATATCCCCGAATTTGCTCACTCTTCTTCGGCGCCGATTCGACTTCGACACCGACACCGACACCGACTTCGACATGAAAATTACCGTGGCATTAAAATGAAAAAATGAAACTGAAAATAAAATAAAAATAAAAGAAAAATAGAAATTGTTGAAAATCTTGATTTTTAATGTAAAATCATCTTTTTATTTGATAGATAAAAGTTGATCTGAAGGGAGTTAAGGGAAAAAACATCTACCGGTCACGATGACTGAATGGCCGAGTGGATAAGGGGCTTGACTACCGATCTGATCGCTCGACTGGGAGTCACTGGTTCGATTCCACTTCCACGATTCCACGAACTCCAAACTTTTTTCAGAACTTTCTTTTCATGAAGGGAGTTAAGGGAAAAAGCATCGACCTGTCAGAATGACTGGATAGCCGAGTGGGTAAAGGGCTTGGCTGCCGATCTGCTCGCTCGGCTGGCAGCGACTAGTTCGATTCCGCTTAGGGACAAACTTTTTCCAGCTTTTTTTTTCAGAACCGTCTTTTCATGTCATCAAACATAGAAAATGAAAAAGATTGATCTGTGAGGGAGTTAAGGGAAAAAACATCGACCTGTCTCGATGACTGAATGGCCGAGTGGATAAAGGGATTGACTGTCGATCTGCTCGCTCGGCTGCGAAGCTGTGGTTCGATTCCGCTTGACGGCAAATTTTTTTCCTACCTTTCTTTTCATGATATTGAAAAACTTTAAAAATCCCTTAAAGAAAAGAATATTCGGTTGAGGAGGGCTGAGGGGAAAAAGAAAAAAAAAGGGAATTTGTTCGGCCTCATCATTCAAAACTCGATTGGGGATGGAAAAAGAGGGGCGATTTTGGGGGAAAAACGAGGAACACTTCTTTTTCAGATGAGATGGGTATTCAATTGAATGGCTGAATATCTATTTCGTCATAATATTTCGGAGTTTTCATTCATTTTCGTTCATTTTCGTTCATTTTCGTTCATTTTGGTTGGAAAGCGCTCAAAATTCGTGCGGTTTTTTGGTTGAAATTAGTCTTTTTACAATCCGACTATGGCTGAGGTGATTTTGAATCAATTACGCAACTTTTTTTTGTGTTTTTTGTGTTTTTTTTTCTTCTCTTTATCGTAGCTGCTTTTCAAGCAATTTTTAGCTTTTTATTGCTTTAATGGTGTACTTTTTGCTTTCCAAGCTTTAAATAAACAATAAACAAACGATTTCTGGCGAAACGGCTTATCGATAGCTTTTTTTGACAGATTTTTGACAGATTGACAGATTTTTCTTTATTAAAACCCTTTTTGAATAACCAAATTCCGTTCGATTATGTTTCCGAAAAGCGAAAATCGAATTTGCATCAGAAATTTTGGGTTTTTTAGCAGAAATTTTGGGTTTTTAGCACAAAGTAAAAAGTCGTTTCTTTTAAAAGTTCATTCATAGATCCGTTTTAAGAAGCAAAGAACGAACCAAATTTATCGCCTAAAGTAAAGATCGAACCAACCAACCAACCAACCAATCAACCAATCAACCAACCAACCAACCAACAAACCAACAAACCAGCCAACCATCCAACAAACCAACAAACCAACCAGCCAGCCAATCAACCCACTTTATCCCCTAAATAGTGAACGTTTCGAAGAAGCGCCTCAATGCTAACAATATTAGAAAAGAAAATCGTTTAAAAAAACAACTCCCTGACACAAATCTCCTGAATCCCTCGCTTTCCTTGAAGCTATTTATCAAATTGTGGACTCCTAAAATTGCGAGAAGACGCTCAAAATGACGCTATTTATTTTTTTTTTGTACTTTTTGTTTTTCAAAGAATCAAAGATTTATAGACTTAAATAGAGAAAAAATCAACAAGAAAAATAGCGATTTCTCGCCTATTTCTCGCCTAAAAATAGAGATTTGAAAGAAAGAATTTTATACTTCTTTTTTCGTGGAGCCGACGAAAATAGAGAAAATCAAATCTTGGTTTAAAGGTTGACTTTTAGAGACGAGATCTTTGTGCACTTTGGTTTGGCTGTAGGTTCTCGGCAAATGGGTCTACATGCTTAGGCTTAGGCTTAGGCTTGGACTTAGTGCGAAGGCTAGCGGCTAGCGCCTAGCACTAAGTCTATTTGGGTTTGGGCTGAACCCCCGTTTTTTGGTTAGGCTTAGACTTAGGCTCATTTGTCGAGAGCCTACAGGCTTAGGCTTAGGCTCATTTGTCGAGAAAACCAAAGTGCACAAAGAACAGTACTTTTAGTGCTCTGGTTGACTTTTTTTTGGAAACTCTGCGACCCAGGAATCCAGCTCTGGAACAATGCCAACAAGGCTAAAGTTTAGTGTCTAGAGATTAGAGTTTATTAAAGTTTAGAGCTTATTAGAGTCTAGCGTCTAGGGATTAGAGCTTATTAAATTCTAGAGTCTATTAGAGTTTAGTATCTAGGGATTAGAGCTTATTAGAGTCTAGCGTCCAGGGTTTGGAGTCTATTAAAGTTTAGCTTCTAGGGATTAGAGCTTATTAGAGTCTAGCGTCTAGGGTTTAGAGTCTATTAAAGTTTAGCTTCTAGGGATTAGAGCTTATTAGAGTCTAGCGTCTAGGGTTTAGAGTCTATTAAAGTTTAGCTTCTAGGGATTAGAGCTTATTAGAGTCTAGCGTCTAGGGATTAGAGCTTATTAAATTCTAGAGTCTATTAAAGTTTAGTGTCTAGAGCTTAGAGTTTATTAGTTTTCTTTACACTGCTTGTCTCAACCAGCATAGATTTAGCGAATGTTTAAGTGTCTGATCAAATATTCACAAAAATAGCTAGAAACTGTGTTGGGGAATGTGCTAGTTTGCGTTTTTTTTTTTGTTGATTTCTGGTTCAAATCCGTTCTCTCTCTTTTTTTCTTTTCTGTGAATGCGCCAAATTTTAAACATTACAACATAAGGAGCACGTGTGGCTGACTGGCTAAGTGTCTTTTATCTTAATCGGAAGGTCGAGGGTTCGAACCCCACATGCGACATGGTCACCCCCTTCGGATTTCCTTTCCCTTCGAGTTGAGAGGTTTTCTGGAGGGCAGTCTGGTGGTTGTGGCCCCAGTTCTTTAAAGTGACAAGCCACTCCTTCATCGTCATCTTCCCTTCACCACCAAAAAAAAGCTATTTATTTCCCCATTGAGCTTAGGATTAGGGAGCCGTCTGTCATGACGTGGGTTAAGTTAAGATCTAGCCTAGTATTGTGATTGATATATTTCGTGTATGCGATAAATTCACCACTAGTAGCCCCAGTCGGTATTTTTAATGACTCTTTTCAGAGCTTATTCGAAAATATTTAATGTCAATGTTAGTGCTCAACGAATTAGAATAGTTTTTTTTTTGTGCAAGTTTAGTTGATTGATTTAGTTGATTTTTGTCATTTGAGAGTGTCTTGATGAAAGATTTAAACAAATAACGAAAAGAAAGTAAGAAATTAAACGATTAGATGAGAAAGGTGATTGAGAATTCTTTTCAAAAAAAAAAAAAAAAAAAAAAAGAGAGAGAAAGATAATCGTTTGGGAAAAGTGAAAAAACGGAAAAGTGTCAGAATTGGAAAAGGCTAATTGTAGGGGTGATTGAAGAGTTTAAAGAGGTTTAGCCACATTTACGACAACATTCTTTAGGCGTACAGTCGCGTAGTCGATAGCTTTTTTTACTAATTCGGTGTTAAATTCAAAGATAAACTTGAAGGCGTTTCAAAAAGTCAGCACAGCGGCTTGAGCTGATCATGGAGTTGAGCTGGGGATGGAGTTGAGCTGGGGATGGAGTTGAGCTGGTGATGGGCTTGAGCTGATCATGGAGTTGAGCTGGGGATGGAGTTGCAGCTGGGGATGGAGTTGAGCTGGTGATGGGCTTGAGCTGATCATGGAGTTGAGCTGGGGATGGAGTTGCAGCTGGGGATGGAGTTGAGCTGGTGATGGGCTTGAGCTGATCATGGAGTTGAGCTGGGGATGGAGTTGAGCTGGCGATGAGCTGATGATCAATTCCAGCTGATGATCAACTTCAGCTTTCTAATTTCAAAAATTTAACATAATTATGAATGTTTTTGCGTTGAATGATAGTAGATACTTGATGATTGGACGGGCCTAGATCCACGCATTCTCATAGTCAGCTGAAATTCATCACCTACGACAATATACATGAAATTTTTGAGCCACCATGTCTTCCACGATCATGAGATTTATGCCATAAAATTGAGACTTCTACTAGACATAGGAAATCGTTCTTGTTTGGGGTTGATTTGTTTCTGATTCGGATTTGATTGGGTTCTTATTTAGAGATGATTTGTTTCCTATTTGGTTCTTAGAGCTGATTTGTTTCCTATTCGGATCACATTCGATTCTTAAGGCTGATTTGTTTCCTATTCGGTTCTTAAGGCTGATTTGTTTCCCCATTCAGTTCTTAGGGCTGATTTGTTTCCAACCCGGTTCTTATTTAAGGCTGATTTGTTTCCTATTCAGTTCTTAGGGCTGCTTTCTTTCCCCATTCGGTTCTTAGGGCTGCTTTATTCCTATTCGGTTCTTAGGGCTGCTTTCTTTCCCCATTCGGTTCTTAGGGCTGCTTTATTCCTATTCAGTTCTTAGGGCTGCTTTCTTTCCCCATTCGGTTCTTAGGGCTGCTTTATTCCT